GCTGCCTAGCTTATAGTCAAATGTAACGAATGCATATGCATGACAGGACAACATTTTAACTTATTTTTGGATTATATTCTTCAATTCGGCATTACTATCGATCGACATCTATATCTATTGATATATTTAGGGAGATGTCCACTTGTAGTCCTGTGAAATCAACAGAGGAGGGTGACAGTCATGTGAATCAGGTCTATTTTCGTAGTGTCCTTCGCGCACAGGCTAACAGAGAGTTCCCCTTTCTTAGCTCGAGGACGAACGTCTTCAATTCTCATCCTTTGATAACACGAAAACGGTATGCTTCTCTTACCTGGTCCCCGCTTTGTCCCCCATCTCCTCCGAGCTGTGTGGAGTATCTGTTGTGTGCTGGTGTGTTGCCTGTCTCGCTCCAGTGTATCCGCTGCTACTGCTACTGGCAGCTTTTTGGAATAAATCAGCCTGTTTCCGCAGTTTGGGGAACAAGCCACGCCCACAATTAATATGATGGACACCACAATCACTCAAGATGCTATAATACACCTGCAATGCAAACGCTCTACTAGTAATAATAAAAAGTGGTGGTTAAGTACATTTAATCCAAAACATACAAGTGGTGGATGAAGTATTCAGATCAGTTACTGATTCCACACTGTAAAAATAACATGTTTTAAGTCAAAGAAAACATGCTTGAAAATGATATAGCCTATGTATAATTAGGAACATGTAATTATTAGGCTAAAATAAAGAAAAAGTCTCATGTGAATATTATATATTTGGTTATGATTATTCATGCATTAATCTAGAAAAGCATGATTTAACCCTTCAATGATTTCGGGATCCTGGGGATATGGTCACTTGACAGGCTGTGTAGTGTGTCCATGGGTACAATGGGTTGTAATAATGGGGTTACATAGGTGTAATATGGGTCTAATACAGTATAATATTGGTTTAATAACAGTGTTGGGTGTAATAATAGTGTAACATGAGTGTAATAGGGGTGTATGAATGTGTAATATGGGTGTTTTTAGAGTTTAATTACGGTGGAATATTGGTGTAATTTGGGTGTAATAACAGTGTAATTTAGGTGTAATGTAGGAAATACCAATCAATTAATTTTCCAAAAATATTTACATGTGATGGCCCATTTAAAGATTAACTGTGGTAGTGAGTTGAGATGAAGCTATTCTTTTACTTTTTTTAATCAGACTGCAACTAATGATTATGTTCATTATGGAATTGTTTTTTCTCTAATAATCGATTGATTGTCTGGCTCTGGCTTGTCACATTTAGAAAATATTAACAATTGTCATCACAATTAAAAAACAAAACAAAGGGACAATTGCACAATGTTGTGTCCAGCCAAAAAAAAAACAAGAACAAAATAAAACATATAAATGCTTAAAATGTTGGGAAGTATATAACAAGAAAACTCGTACATTTTAAGTAGTCGGAACCATGCCATGTTTTGTAGGAATTAAGTGACTATAATACAAATAAATGCTCCTATATTCAAACTCTTCATAATTCATTTGTAATGTAAGTAAAGAGGTTAGATAAATGTATGAGTAAAAAGCTAAACATATTTCCCTCATATCGTATAGGAAGTATAAAGTGTTATGAAAAGAAAAGACTCAACTCAAAATGGTAGTCCTATTAGTCTACTGTCTTTGATTATGTATTCTTTGTTACATTCCAACTTTAAACTACCTTAACAGATTTCTGAGGTATTGTACTTGAAACAATGGTGGAATAACTCAGGTCCTTATGTTAAAGCATGCCTATAACAATGTTGGACTACTCAATTACAATAAAAGACCTGCTTAAGTAAAAGTACATTGTTAACAGCAGTAGCGTGGCGTGGGAAAAAAATTAGGGGAAGTCAATAATACGTCCTTTCTTTTGGGGTGTGGTGGTCAATGTAATAACGTAACCAGATGAGTGATTACAGCACCCGGTATCATTTTACACACATTTGTATCAGATGCAGGACTTACACACGCCTGTTATCTAACCGACAGGTCCGCACGCACTCTCCAGCCGAAACTCTAATAAGCATTCATTCACAAACTAAATCAGGAGACCTTTAACGTTTTACGTCCGATTCGCTCCTTTTTTCCTCGCTGTACACAGCTCCAGTTTGGGCATCGGCCTGTCATCAGATTGTATTTGTTGTTGCTGCTGTAGCGGAAGTTTAGTACAATTACTTTTGATGAAATACTCCAAATCTCCACCCTCCATAATTGCACTTGCTTCAGTTGCTTGCTACTTTCTAACGACGGTGAGAGTGATGCAGTGACGCTATCTATCTTCTATCGATTAGATTTATGATTCGAAAATTATAAAAGTAGGGTAGACATGTGGATATTATCCGACTGAACAAAACTTGCATTTATCTAACAGGTTCGTTTTCCACTGACCTTATTTCGAGCTATTTTCCTAAATCCTATGGAGAAATCTCATTGTTTTTTTGTCGAGGGAAACCGAGCGCAGCTTACTTCCGGATTTTAGGACGCGTCACTGCAACACTAAGTTGATGCGATTTGATTGGATTGTGAGGCAAGGGAAGCCAGCCGCCTCTGGCTTCCCTTGGCATGGCCCTGACCAATCACAGGTTGGCAGGGGCATGACGTGAGCCTCATCTGATTGGTCAATCCCTCCATTTTTTTTCACCAAGGGAAGCTAGATTCGGCTGGCCTCCTCTCGCAACAGTGAGTGCAATCTACTGTTTCACCATAACATCTAAAGGGGCGCTGTTTGTTTCACTCTTTGTAAAATACTCAATGAGAATGGGGGAGAGACGGGGCGGCAGCAACACGCAGCAAAGGAGAATTATCGAAACAAAACAAAGTGTTTTTATTTATTTAAATTATAACTACAATCCGAAAAAACAGGGGAAGCCTGGCTTCCCTTGGCCTCCGGGAGAAAACACCACTGGTTAACAGTCATCTCAAGATGGAACTGATTTTAATTTGATATAATGATGGTTCCCAAACTAGGGGTTGGACCCCTCCAAAGGGTCATAACGGAGGTTTCCCAAGACGAAAAATGGAAGGAAACACAAATCTCTTTTCATTGATATTTTTTGTATGGATAACGTATCCAGTTATTGAAAATTAAACATCCATACGGTTTTGAGGATAAATCTCTCTCTGTAAAGTAATAAGGTCATTTTTGGATAACATTAGCTTAATTTCCTGTCAAACATATGGGTCAGATAGGTTTCTCTGAAATATATATAATTTCTTCCATCCCAAATGTTAGAATATTAGTCCTTCACTAGCCTAAATGTGTAAAAGAAAATGGAATGGGTTCCTCTGTGAACACAATGCTAATGCATGAGAGGCACACAGGCTTAGAGCCTTTCCTTGAGTAAAAGTATTGACATACTTTAAGTAAAACATATTACAAAATACATTGGAGTAGAAGTATAAAGTAGCATAACATGTAAATACTAAGTAAAATACAAGAATGACAAAAAAATGTACTTAATGTAATGTACACTGCAGTGACGTGCGGTGAGGTTCATGGCTGGTGAGGCACTGACTCTTTCAGAGTCAGATTTACAAATATTATATTTTGACCTTAATCGAAATGTTCGGTTATTTTCAAAAGCTTTTTTAGTCTGATGCTTCGATTCATTTTAAACAGACTGTTCAACAAAAGGATACCCAAAATCTAAATATTGGATTGTACTTTCTTAGTAAGATCCCATGTTCATTACAATTGTGGTCTTACCTTGACTTGAAGATGAAGTCCATGCTATCCTTCTGGACAACAATCTCTATTACTTTTTTGTAAAAGTCCTCCTTATCTTCCTGTAGTTTCAAAAGTCTAGCTTGTTGTTTGTGTCTACCGTCTCTGCGTAGAATAACAGTAGCAACAAGAACCTGTGGGCTCACGTGCGCCCCCTTCAGTGCGGCAGAGGTTATGGCTGCCTCCCCTGGAGCTTTTTTCATTGCCGTTGTATGATGAGACCAGCGAGCCTAAATATCATATATACGTGAAATAAGTTATCAATCAATCAATCAATCAATCAATCAATCAATGTTTATTTAAATAGCCCAATATCACAAATGTTACATTTGTCTCAGTGGACTTTACAGTTTGTACAAAATATCAGTATGACAATACGACACCCTCTGTCCTTAGACCCTCACATCGTACAAGGAAAAACTTCTGAAGAAAACCCACAGTTTAAAGGGAAAAATGGGAGAAACCTCAGGGAGAGCAACAGAGGAGGGATCCCTCTCCCAGGACGGACAGACGTGCAATAGATGCCGTGTGTAAATTGAAAAGATAATACAATACAAAGTTATTTAGAGACTATGGATGGCGAGGATAAATGTAATAAAGGGATCTACAAACATTACATTGGTGACATACAGTGAGATGGTGCAGGCATGCGCTTAGGGACCGCTTTCCAGCCAGTTTCTGTGGGGTGACGCATTCTGAGGTGAGGCAGAGCTCATCTGTGCCTCACCTCACCCCACAGTAACTGGCTTGAGCGCGCTCACAAAATAAGTGCCCGCGCTACATTAGTGCCCGCGCTCCAGCCAGTTACTGTGGGCTTACGTGAGGCAGAGCTCCTCCATGCCTCACTCCTCATCGCTCCCATGTAGTTGTAGCGGAGCTCGGCCAATTTGCTGATTTTGACTATAAAAAGCGATTGGAATCATACATAAATCACATTTACAACACAGATCAGTGGAGACATTTTATTATTATTACTATTTCGTTTTTCTTTAGTTGTTTTTCCGTTATGCCTACATTGGAGTATGACAGGTCCACTCTGCCTCCCCTGCCTCCCCTGACTGCACGTCGCTGGTATTAGTTACTCACCACTGGTGTTCATCATTAACTATCATAAGTGTTGTTCAAATCCGAGTGTTTTATACATCTTAATAATTTATTAAAGGGACATTTAATTGCACAATATGATAAATAACTTCATCATTTACTATGAAAATAATTTAGATTTATTGAGCATTGTTCACTGCTTTTGTGTGGCAGTTTTACTTTGAAAGGTGTGGCAGGAAGTGGGTCTGAGTGGGAGAGCCACAGGAGCCATAGTGAACGCCTTGTATGCGGCTGTGAGAGTGATCTGAACCGCAGGCTGAGACTAACGGAACGGTGACAGGCCAGCTGCTTTACCCGCTGTATTCTCACTCTATACCGGCTGTTTGTGTGTGAAAGACCGGAGTCATGGCTTCCCGCTCTCTGTGCTCCCTCGCGCTGCTCCTCGCGCTGCTGCTCCCTCTGGAAGGTGGGTAACGCTTTGTCTGCACGTGCACGTTCCGCCTTTTGTGCCGCACACCGATTCTAGGCCGAGTAACGGTCTACCGACCTGGGAGTCGACGTTAAGAGAGAGAACAGACAAATTATTATTATATATATACATTTTTTCTAATTATTTATGTTATATATCATTTTTGAAGCTTCATTTTGTGGCTCCATTTGCTCCACATATTACTGATGCTGAGCTGTAATAAATTAAGTAATTCCACATTACTACATGCATGATTATGATTATACAGTTTTCTTTCAAATGGGACAGTAATTCAAGCTTTAATATGTTTAAAAAAAAAAATCGAATCTGAATGAATAGATGAAAGTGATGGGGCACCACCCGCCCTTCCTGTCTGGTTTGCAGCAGCACATGCCATGCTGACAATGATGTCACTCTCAGTGCTTATTAATATGGAAAGTTAGTCACTAAAAGGTGAACAATTTTAAAGCAGATGAGTTCATTCGGTTTAATGGTAGCACATGTCCTCACTCTACAATTGTACTCGCCTTACATCACTAATCCAATACAAGCAGGTGTTCATTTGATTGCTTTTTAGGAGGTATTTTTTCATTCTAAGGTCTGCATGGCAACCCATATTTTAAGGTATGGACTGACTGAAAAGCTGTAGTCATAAAATATTCACCTGGTTGTGGCAATCAAAAAAACCCAACCAGCAGCCAGCTAGTTAATGAAATGCTACTATGCAAATGAGATGCTAATTATGTGAATACATTTTCTAGCCAAATGTTGGGTTTAGGAATACAATTACAAGTGTCAAGTGATGTCAAGTATCACTTATAAAAAAAGTTATATTAGTGTTGAGTTAATCTGGTAAAGATTTTGGGTTTGGATGTAGGCAGAATCTCAGTCTCTACCCTTAACTTTTTAGACTTTACACCTGTTTTTTTGGTATCTTTCATTGCAGAGTACATGGATTCCTAATGCTCTCTTTTGCCTAAATCTAAAATCAGTTAACCTCACTGACTGGAGCTTTTTTACCTACCGTAACATGGGTCCAGGGATTGCTGTTGACCCAAAAATGAAGGAAGCGGTACGAGTTCTTCTGATTGGTCACATCTGGCTGGTACCCTTGCCCTTGGGCGGTAGGTGGGGCAGCAGGAAGGAGGGGGGTCTGTTGGCTGCAGGAAGTAATATGTCAAGGTCAGGGTGGTGAATGGTCCTGTGGCACATCAGAAATTCACACAGAAGGTCCTGTCAGAGTGTGCACGTTTTTATTACCTAATCAGTGTTATGCTAGGGCTGCTCGATTAACCGTATTTTAATTGCAATTACGATTTTGGCTTGCAACGATTATGAAAATAACATAATCGAAATAAAACGATTATTTTATTTTATTCAATTTTTTGTATTGGTTTTTCAGTTGAATTATACTTAAAGTTCAGGGTGATCAACTGTTAAAAACATACTGTTCACATTTTTTTTTTCAATAAATGGATGTTTTCAAAGTAAATGGATAATCGTTTTTAATAATCGTGATATCAATTATTGACCCAAATAATCGAGATTATGATTTTTGCCATAATCGAGCAGCCCTATGTTATGCCCAACCTCATTTGAATAAAGAACTGCACTGATTCAGAGTCACACTCCGTAGAACTAGAGTTAAAATGAACAGTTAAGAAGAAAAAGGATATTGTAGCAGAACAAGAAAAAGGGTCTTCTTGAGCCACAAATTGTTTTCCCTTGTCAGAACCTGGTGCCTACAAAACCCACAATGCAACATGAATGGAAACCTTTCTGGGAGATTTGGTTGCATTTTTGTTATAGGACTGTTATTAGAGCTTTTATTTCTTCTATCAATTTATCTGCCAATTACATTCTTGAGTTTAGTCTACTATAGTAAAACAAATCTATTTCAGTTTCTTAATGTCCCAATCCTTGTTACGACAGTCTAAAACCCAAAAATAATGAATTAAACACGATTTTAAAACTATGAAAAGCAGGACAACTAATCAATTAATGGACTTATTGTTGCAGCTCTTTTACTTGTCTATTTCAATTAGTTATGAATGTGGTCAGATAACACGTTGTACAAATGAGTTTCTTTCAATTATATCCCCTCCTAAATTAGATTTATAATCTGAGTACCGGTAACTACACCACCAAGGCTTGCATGCACTGTCTCTAGAACAGGACAATACACTATAGCAGAAGCTCAGAGTGGAACATCTGAACCCATAGAGTTTTACTGCACAGATGTGCAGTAAAACTCTTGATGGTTATTACATAGCTAGTTTCCCTAATGGCAGCTTGGAGCTCATTCAAGAAAAGGGCAATGGTAGGGAAGTCTTTATTACCTTTACAATTTTATTAAATTCTTCAACGTCTGGTAATGTAACTGAAGTTCCTCGGGTGTTATGGAGCCAACCCATTCAGCATTTTACGTCCTTGGGGACACCTTGCCTGAGGGTCGATAATTGAAATGTTCCTGAGTCGATTCTAAAGTAGCTGGGTGCCTTTGTACATGTTGTACTTGCTCTCTCGCAACCTTCCCTGTCTGCCTTTTCTGTAGACTTGAATAGAGGAGAAATGCCAAAAAAATCATTAAAAAGAGCAGTTTGAAATGTGCCCTAGCATGGGTAAGAAGCATGAAGCCTCGACTGCGGCTCTAAGATAAGAACTGATTCCCAGGGGGACATTAGGTGTGACAACCGAGGAAGAAAAAGACTAGATTAAAAATAGATAGAAAGGGTGGAGCAGAGTGAATCTACAGCATAAATCAGAATTACAAGTAGTGTACATGATTAGTATGTTTGACGTGTAATCTGGGAAACGAGTCTTCTTCAATTATACACAATAAATACATTTGAAATTGTACTGCATGCTATGGAGTATCGTTACAATTTGTTTTTGTATGTGTCCGTTTAAAGTAGTGATTCTATTTAATTGTGTTATGTAGTCATAGCATATTCAGCTACAATGGTGATGAAAGTATAATTTCTGTTAGTTCCAATCTAGGGTTAGGCACACACACCGTGCTTGTTTGTGACTGGCAGCCAATGAAGATAGCTAGTGTTTGTTTGTCTCTGCTTTTGTGTCCCGTCTGGTAAATGATCTCCGTTTTGCAACCCAGACAACAAATAGTGCCGATTAGTGCACTCTGGGCCCAGTTTGGCACCAAACTGTGTGACACACAGTAACACTGGCAGGGCCTGGGAACTCATCAGTAAAGTGGTCACACATCTACCAAAGAGCCTACATCAGACAGAAGATATCCACACTCTACAGCATGTGTTGAGTCCCTTTTGGTGTTATTTGTCAGATTGAATGTAACATGTCTTCTGTCTGTCCCTCTGTCCTCTCTGAACAGTAGTCCTTTCTCAGGACTTCAATCTAGCTGATGCTGTGGGTGATGATGACACAAGTAAACCATGTAAGTACAATACAAAATAAATAACTTTTTCTTCTTTTTGGGACTCAGCGTCTCATAAACCCGATATATTTATCTGCAACTTCCTTAAAAAAGATAACAAATATTGTGATCCGTCTTTTGAATAAAAAAGATTATAATTGCCAGAAAATGTTGTATCTCCATTGACTTCCATTAATATTCTACAATTTAAAGGCATTAAGAAAACTTGAAACCTGTGATGTATAATCCGTGACTATATCAGGTTTTCAGTCTTATGCATATTACTTTATCAATACAAGATAATAGCATACGGAAATGAATGGAAGTCAATGGATAAGTAAGAAAAATGGCGTAACATTAAAAGAAAAATGTGTAGCAAGCATTCCTTCAGATTCAGACCAACATTACATGATTTACAATATCTACTTATGAATGACTAACAGCAGAGTAATGACTTTTGTTGAATTATGTCTAAATATAACAATAATTAATATTCTTCAGCACCGCCCCCCGCCCCGAAGCCAGCGGCACCAGCTGGAGGAGCAGAGGCAGGAGCAGGTAAGAATCAAATCATTGAAATCTATAATAACACCAACTTAACCTGGAAGAGTGACAGGATCATTTGTAAGTGTAAGTCAATGGGAATCAATGATGTAGCATTGTTAGATTTAAGGAGTAGTGGTGCAGGATTGTAAATCTTTGACCGTTTTTTTCTTAAAGTTCTCCTACAACATGAGCTTCTCTTTGAAAACTCTGCTTTTCAGAAGGTATCAGATATTCTTAAAGGGAGTGGTTAACTTCGAAAAAAAATCCAAATTCTGACTACTTTCATCTGCAAAACTGTCTCCCATCTTGGTTTTTCACGAGCCCTGTCTACTTGTATGCTGTTGAATCATTTACAGTGGACTTATAACTGAAGTCCCGTCGATCTCTAGGTTTGAGCTGTCAATGTTGTGTGCAGGTTTTGATTCAATTGGTGACATCACCACCATTACCACCAAAGCCCCCTCCAAGGCAGTAACCAAGGCCCCGTTCAAGCCCAAACCCAAGCCAGGTGAGAGAATCCTCAGCTTCCCTACTCAGGCTGGAAACTCTACTGCAGAGGACCAGGTTTTCATAAAAAGCCTTAAAGGTGTGGTATGTAAGTTTGAGAAACCGGCTCGAGATACACTTGTTATATTCCATGGAATGCTCTTAACATCCCGATAGCAATGAATATCTTAAGTGCTTTGACAAAAAATCCATAAAAAAATATCATCTGTGGAAGCCGTGGCGCTGTAAAAAGCACGACCAATCATCTGAGCCGGCCCGGCTAAAGTAACTGGATGGCCTACCTGCCTGTCAGCCTTCCATCTGTGCACAAACTTATCTCGTGCCCTCATTGGTCATGTGCGCGTTCGTGTGTGTTGGAGGAGGGGCTCTGTAAGGAAGTGGCAGATTTTTTCCGGTTGTGTATTTTCAAATTCTACCGCACTCGAGCTGGTTTCTCCAAAATTACCTACCCCACCTTTAATTTAATTTCCCCTGCTTTATATTTCACTAACCAGTTCTCTTCTGCTTCTGTTTTAGTTGGCTGTTAATCCAATTTGACTTCCTTCCTTATATGATCTCTCTAATCTATATACTTAAGTCTGTTTCAATTTATTTTCACCAGGTCTGTGGTCGAATAGTCTTTCTTGCTTAGGAAGTTTCATTGGTTAAATGCTTTGAAAAACTTGTTGGCAACCATGATAAGAGCAGTTTGAATCCTCTAAATGCTCATTTGAATGATTTATCTTGTATTCTCTTTAGCAAAGTATACACTGGACCATTATCGAAATAAAGCAAATCATGGCAGTCCCCTATTGTCAGTACTTTTTAACCCTCCTGTCATGTTTGTTCTCCCCCTTTTTTGGTGTTCCTGGTCAAATTTGACTGGTCTGTTTTACAGTAACTGCTCTTACAAAAAAAAACATTAATCATGACCACATTTGATTTAACACCTTTTCAGCTGTAAACAATGTATCAGAATACTGGTTCACATGAATAACCACAGTGAATAGACACTGATAATGTGTGTATATGTGTGGTGTTTTGACTGGGAACATCATAGGTTTTTACAAAGTTGACCAAATCACTCAAAATTAAATGAATGGGGTGAATAGCAATTGAATATGTTCAAATACCTACTGTGGAGGATACCATGAGCCCTGGAAGCTATAATATGTAAAACACAATAGCTATGATTGATTGATGTAAGAAGTAAATTGGTCAAATCTGACCCGAACACGACAGGAGGGATAAACAAGTTTGAATTATTATTAAGTATTGAGTCAATGAAGAAGGCTATTCGACCGCAGCCCAGGTGTTACTCTCTCTGCTCAAATGCTAAATATTGTTTCTATGTTGTTAATGTTTTTTTCTGACTGCTGCTTCTGTCTTTATTTTGCAAACACACTGACCCCCGACCTTTTGGCCTCCACAGCTGCGGACTACTTTGACCTGTCCGATGCCTTGGACCCCAACAATGACATTGGTGGCAAGGATAAGAACAAGGGGCAGGGAGGTGGGATTAGCTATTAGCTCGGCATCACTTTATAAATCAGTGTTTTGTGTGGAATTAAAGCCGCTATGTGTGAAATATGAACATAGCAGAAATGTAAAAAACATCAATATAGTTAAATAATTAGATGATTTAATCATATACAAGTTCTAAACATGGTGGCTTTAATAGATAGTCAATATGTATGGTTTATCAATAACAGTATATTTAAGGCTGGGTGTTTTCAACTTATATTAAATATAATATAAGTTGAAAACACCCAGCCTTAAATATATAATATAAAATATAAAGAGCCCTTGTTAAATATACTGTAGCATAAACATCACCCCATCATATACACTGGGAATTCTTAAGTGCTACTTGTGCTTCTGAAGTGAAACAACTGAAACTTTTACTTAATTCAATTAAATGTATTATGTCAACAGATTTCACATAACTGTATTAGGTTATATAATGTTGAGATACAAATATTAGCTTCAACTTAATATTATTGCCTACAACTAAACTAATACAGTTACGTGACATTTGTTGACATAATACATTTAATTAAAGTCAATGTTTGAGTTTGTTTTGTGTATTTAAGTCCTCCCACATACATCGAAAGTCATTTCATGTCTAGAAATCATCCGGAAATCCCCAAAGGTTTTGATTTGGAGGACTTAAACAGTATGCACGATACTCATTTGTTCTGATAGTTCAGCGCATAAGAAAACAATCTTCAGACAGTTGCATGGCCACCATGCGGACAAGTGTCCCCACAGTCTGCTGGGATGAGTGCTCTGTTGTTAAACTTTACACAAGAACTTAATGAAACTCTTCATGTCTCAGAGGGAGCTCATTGTTTTCATCTGTTGCTCATCGCTCATCACCCCCCCTCCCCCACCCCCACTCTGCTGGTAACACTGTCCCTCACATGCTATTTCTGCATTCAAAGCTTTATTTATCTGCTTTAGACCAAATATAGTTTCTTCTTTTTCTCAGTTCATTATTTACTTTTTTTTGCAAACAAATAATCATTTAATAAGTTATTTTTATTTTAGGAATTAATGCCAATATTATTATCATTACTATTATAATAATAATATTAGTTCACTCATACAATAAGCTATAAGACTGCTGGCGGTCGACTTAAAAAATGCTTATTTATACCCAGTATTTATCTACGAATTGGCTATTATGAAGACAAATGTCTGCTTACATTTCTAAATCTATTTGTTATTGAATTTATATTTATTTTATTATTTGTATTAGAATTACATTTTAATATTAATATAAGTATCAGCGTAATACATCCAGAATATATATTGACAAAAACTCTGTTTGACGGGGCAAATAAAAGGTGCAAAAAACTGCTGTTTAATCTATTCTATATGATCAATTAGAATCAATTTAGACTCTTGTCATGTCCAAATGGAAGAGAATACAAAAGAGCACCACCTGACGTAGTATCATTACAAAAGGAATGACACCAGCTTCTGCATCATATACAGCAAAACAATGTAAAGAGGTAGTTGGTTGTTTTGAAGTGGGATTTGTATGGGATTCTATCAAAATAGATGGAAGGCGGCATAAAGAAACAGATATACTTACCCCACTACAAAAACATCCAAAATATCCCTTCAAAAGCAAATAAATTATAAATCAAGCTTTGTGCACATTTGACATTTTGAGTTTGCTCTGACAGTTTATCATTTAGTGATTTTAATATAAATACTTATTTTCAGGTGGAATTTCTGACAATGATCTGGCAGAGGTTGGTAAAGATGATACCTACAAACCTGACGGAGGCAAAGGTAATGTCTGCAAATGTATAACAAATCCATGTAAAGCTCCGTAGCTAAGAAAATCAACCCTTCTGTGTGCTGTGTTTTCACAGGTGGACGTGGTGACGATCAGATCAACCCCCGTGAAGACAACAATGGTGTGTTCTCTCTGCTTCTAGTGTTTGTTCATAAATGCATCTCTACTGTCTGTTGGTGTTAATGTCTCTGTGGGCATTTGCAGAGACCACAGCAGAAGTGGGCACCATCGCAGGGATTGTTAGCGCAGTTGCTATGGCGCTGGTGGGAGCAATCACCAGCTACATCTCCTACCAGAAGAAGAAGCTGTGCTTCGGCATTCAACGTAAGGCTTTTACAGTAAACTCATTAGTGGAGTCCCTCAGGGCAGTGACCTCACCAGTGTTACAACTGCTGCTGGCCTAGGGAGCAGTTTGTACCATTACAACTTAAACCTGTTTTAATCAATGTTCTCATAATACTGTTTAAAGTGTAATGTAAAAGGTAAAGTTCCCCTTATAGTCTATTTGCCAGCTCATAGAGTCCTATTGTGAGTGTATTGGCCTGTAAATTAAAATGTTCTGCATTGTTAAAATAATTGCGGTCAAATATCGTACAACTTTAACTGGGTTGAAGCAAACCTATTCAAAAAAGTATAAGCTATCTGTCCTTTAGAGCAGTGGTTCTCAAATGGGGGTACGCGGACCCCTAGGGGTACGTTGGAGTACTGCAGGGGGTACGTGAGATTTATGTTATGTTAATGAAAAAAAAACATAATTAATGCATTTAAACAAACTACTAATAGTAGATGAACTACTTTCTTCAAAAGTTTACAGAAACTCTGGATAATAAAATGGGAAAAATAAACAGGGTGCTCTCTTTTCCTCTCCCTCTCCTGACAGCCCGTCAGGCTCGTGCAGCTCGCTGAACCTGTAATGAGTGACCCGACAGTAAAGAATACATATATGTATAACTAGTTTAGCTAGTTCCAGAGTAGATAAACTAGCTAAGTGTGTTAGGTCTAACTCTTAGTGTATTTTGCGCCACTCAACGGTCTGTCACAGCGGGGGAGCTTTGATCCGGAAGAGCTGCGTGTTCTCCATCAGCAGCAGCTGATCTGATCTCTGATCTCTCTCTCGCGTCCGGTTATACTTCACTCGCGTTTATGTCCAAATCTATCAGATCCAGCTAGTTCTAGCTAATTATATGACTGCCTGCTTATCAAAGGACCTAAACAATAAGCGTTGCTTGGCAACGGCGTGTGGCCGCAAAGTATAGCGCAGCATTATGCATATGTTTATATGAGGGGTCAAAATCCCATGCTCATAAAATGCTCATATATTGTTTTCTCTTCATTCCCCACGCCCCAAATAAATAAATATACCAATTTTAGGGAAAGTAAGGAAGTTTGAGCAGTGTGGCTTTTATATTAACAGTTACACATATTTCAAAACGCGAAGTGTAATAACTGCAGTGGCCTCCCTCTCAGAATGACAAAGGTCCTCAGTGAAGCACAAGCCCATGTTTCACTACATTGTAAGTACAACTTATTAAAAAGATCAGTTCAATGCAACTGATGTCGTCTCAGTGTTATTGCATGATGTTAAAATGGTATTGTCACTGACTGGCCCCACCATTGTAACCACTGGCCCGGAGCATTCGCCCAAACAAAATCGACTAATAATGAAGAAAATTAACACATTTGTTGCAATAGTAATGTATGCACAAACTACATTACTACTTGTACTACAACATTTGAATCATCAGTTCTTCCTCATTTTCCTCAATTGTTCATATTTGGTTTATTAAAATAATGATATTGTGGTCATTGTTAAAACATTTCTGCTATTATCATGAGTATTATTATTTGTATAATGCGCTTTCTGCCTTCCTGTCATTAGGAGTTAGAAATGTAATGGCTATGTAATAGATTAGATTAGATCCTTCATTATCCTAAACTGCTGGGACATTTCCCTATAGCCAATACCTTTTATATGTTCTACTCTTCACTCACTGTCAGCATAGGTCGGCATTGATGTACAGAGCCGACAGAAGACCTTGTTTATATTGGCATCATATTGAGAGGTGCAGCCAGTGACGCGTCATAAAACCAGGAAGTAAGCTGCTGGTTCCCTCGACAAAAAGCAATGGGATTTCTCCACAGGGTTTTGGAAAATAGCTGGAAATAAGGTCTGTGGAAAACAAACCTGTTTGATAAATGCACGTTTTGTTCAGCCGGATAATCTCCACATGTCTACCCTACTTTTTTATAATTTTCAAATCATAAATCTAATCGATAGATTATAAAAAGGGTTTTAGGAGGCGTCACTGCACCTCTATCGATCAAGCTGGCTGAAACTTTCTCTCCCTCTTCTTCTCATACTCCCTGTCACTCTCCTTGAACTCCTCCGGTGACTTTCTTTTATTTGAAGATTGTTTTTTGCCCGGCGCTTGGCTGGTTACCGCTGGTATCTGAAGTTACCTACTGTAACTCCAGCTTCTATGAGTATTGGCGTAGCCCTCTAAGGCTATCGCTATTGGGTAATCCCCCTGCGCACCCGAGCAGCACTGAAAACACTTGTAGTCCACGCCCGCCCGCAAGGTGGCCCCCCACCCTCGGGCTCCCTTCCGGTATAAATAGGAAGGAGGCCCGACAATCTGCTCCCATACACAGACACACCTGCTCAATAACAACCCATGCCTATTGCGCCATGCGTAATGGCGCATCACCGTCCCTGGAATATAGCATAACATGAATATTCTCCATGAGGGGACGAAGGCTGGGAACAATACATACCTGCCGCTGTGAAAAAGTAGAGACGAAGGTCATACTTTGCCCAGTGACAAAAAGAGGGGGAACAGCAGCTCTCTGCGTGCAGACAGGCAGGAGAGCGCACAGCTGGATCCCTGATATCACTCACTCTGACAAGACACTCCGTACAAAATGTGTCAGAGGAAAAAAAGGAAACATCCCTCTCATAAGAGGGAAAAAGGGCCGCTCTCCGTGTGCCGAGAGGCAGGAGAGAGGCGCACAGCTGGATCCCTGACGTCACTCACTCTGACAGGACACTCAGTACACTGTACTGAGGGATGTCTCTCAATAAAATTGAATAAATGAACAGGGGGAAGACCAAGATGCAGCAGTGCAAATGTCTTCCACTGACGTTCCTCCGTGCAAAGCCGTGGAGGAGGAAAATTCCTCTGGCGGAGTGCGCACTGATGTTCGCCGGGGGATCCACCCCAGAGGAGACATACGCCTGCGACACAACCTCACACAGCCAGTGTGACAGACGTTATGCAGACAGAGGCTGCCCGATCAAGCGCTCTCTATAATGCACAAACAGGCGCTGAGAACGGCGCCAGGCCGCCGTGCGCGCCACATAGCAGGACAGCGCGCGCACAGGACAGAGGAGATGAGATGTGGCTTCTTCCTCCGACCTGTGAGGAGGAAGGAATAAGCCAGCCAGGGTGATCACTCTTGACCTAAAAGAGTTGTGATGACCTTTGGCATGAAGCCGGGTTAGGGTGTAAAACAGCTGAACTGCATCTCCTTGGATCCGGAGACATGACGGAGCCACAGAGAGAGCAGACAAATCACTCACCCTTTTCGCTGATAGAGCCAAAAGTAATAGCCTACTTTGGCTGATAACAGTTTAAGGGGAACCTGATCCAAAGGTTCAAATGGGGCTTTGCTTTAGTGCGTGTAACACCAAAGCCAAATCCCACTGAGGTGCCAGTGTGCGTGACACAGGTCTGAGTCTCCGTACTCCTCGCATAAAATGGCTGCTGTGTTCCGCGAACCCCTCTGTTCAATTCGCCGGGAATATACATTGCTCTGATGGAGAGCAACGTGTGTGCGCGCCCAGAACAGCAGCCGCCTGGCTGCGTTCAGAAGCTGCGCGGATCGTACTCCTCCCTGGCGATTGAGGTAGGCTGCCGTGGCCTGTTGTCTGTGCGAATCAACACATGTTTGATTGTACAGCAACGGGGCGAAGTGCTGGAATACTTCCCAAACCGGAGAACAGCTCCAGCACATTTACCTCTGACGCACGGGGTCGATGCACAGGTGAATGAACCACCTCTGGAGACTCCTCCTGTGGGGGAGTCCCAGGGGGATCCCCACGTGACCAGCTGACGTCATGCTGAGCAGTTGTATCACAGAGAGGGCCTGCGGGATGTGACACGCCGGAGAGGGAGCTGTCAGTTCCTCCACTCGCTGCCACGAGAGCCGCGCTCTGCTGGCTGAGTTTAATTCCACTATCAGATAACCGATTGTCTGAGAGGGAAGACGACAGCTTTTCTTCCTATTCATTATGAAACCCAGGCTTTTACAGATGCGATACGAGATGTACCGTCTGTAAAGCGACTTCCTCCCTGGAGCGAGCCAGCAAATAGCAGGTCGTCCAGAGAAAACACACTCTCATCCCTCCTCTGTGTAGCGGCTCCAGCCTTCTCTACACAAAAATGCGAGGAGCCAGGAAATATCCGAACAGCAGACGATTGTCTGGTCTGATATTTCCTGAAATGAGAAACGCAGGAATTTCCTGTGTTTCGGGATGATGGGTGGAAGTATGCATCCTTCAGGTGGAAGTGAACCAGTCGTCCTGGTGAACACATTCCACCACCTGATTTTCTTCCCCTTGACGAACCCTGGAAATAGCCACTTTCAACAGCAGCTCTGATTGGAGCGCAAGACATAGCTTCTGGGAGGACAGGAGTGTTTCCTGTATCCCATTGAACTGTGTGGGGCGGGGGGGGAGAGGCGAACTGCAGGGCGTATCCTCTGCTGATCAGCCTGCTCATCCATCTGTCCATCAGACACACACGTTGCCACTCTGAGAAAAACTCTGAGAGCGGGCGCACGTGCTCGAGATGTGTTTTGGCGGGCGCTGCCGCTGGGGGCGCTCAGCCTGGAATACTGACAGATCAAGGATGGGTCTCATTTCTGGCTTCTCTGTGATGTGCTGAAATGGTCGTCATGGTGACGAGCCACGTCATTGCCCTCGCCACCGCTGCCCGTGAAGCGAAAGGGCTGCGAGGGAGCCTCCACACGCTGCGTTTCACTCCGGCTCTCATCATGAGGCGCGTACACACTCAGGGGATGAGTGGAGGTGTGTGCAGTGCTGTTCACATGAGGCGTTATAACGGCGCTCATGGATTTATTATGACCGTGTGTAGGAGGCGTATCTCGGACAGAGGAATGCCGCGAGCTCTGCAGGTTATTAACCGACAGGTTAAAACCTGCAGGCTTTTGCAACGAGCCCTGCTGGCTAGTAACCGTTATAGGAAGCTGGCTTACACAGGGGGGATATGTGAGAAACACTTGTTACTGATGACTCAGTATAAAAAGTTGGAAAATGAGCACACTTTATTTTACTCACAACTCCCAGAACGTCAGAACCGGCTCTGCTTCCTCGGAGGCTCTCGTGGAGCAGACCAGGAGCGGGGGAGCCTCACTCCCCTTTGACTCGCCGCCGGGAGACGCTGTCTCTGGGGTGGCGGGGGAGCGGAGACGTGGGACGGAGCCCCTGCAGCCGCTGAAGGGCGAGCCTGACGCCGAGGCGGTTGCTGTGGGCGTCTCTCCGCTTGCGGCCTCTGCTGCCGGTGTGGACGCCGCGGCTGCTGCAGACTTTGGTGCCGCTGTGGGAGCTCAACAGGCTGGAGCCAGCTGACTCTCGTGCTGGTGACTTGAAAGGCACACTGGTGCACCCGGTCGGCCTGGCGGGCGACATACTGGTCTCTGGGGGCGCTCAACGTAGGGTGCCGTCCGGCGATTATGTTGGCCTGTCTTACCCCAACAAACGCCGTCAGGCTCGGCTCCAGAGAAGGGGCGGCTGGAAAACCAGCATCTGTGAACCCCTCCACCTCGGTGAGGGGAACAAATGTGCCTTCAGCCTTCAGGGTCCTCGGGTTCGTGCCGCCCCCTCCTGGAACCTCCTGATGGCTGGGAAGCGTGGCCAGATAGGGTCACTCCTGACCGTCTGCACCCGCGAAAAGTCATTATGAACCTATGAACTATTAACAAAGCACTTTTATACTAATAAAGCACTGGCTTATCTAAAGCCAGTTGAGTAGCACTTGAAATGTTTTTGCTCTATGAAGCCTGATGTACTTATATGATTCTGTTTTCTTCAAGTTGTATTTTGTTGGTCGAACGCACTTATTGTAAGTCGCTTTGGATAAAAGCGTCAGCTAAATGCAATGTAATGTAATGAACCCAGAGCCACATGAGGGACAATCTCTCACACAATTGTTACTCATGTTTACTCTGCAATTTAAGTGTCTCTTGTGCTTCAGTAACGGGGTGCTGAAGAAAAGAGGGAGCAGATTGTCGGGCCTCCTTCCTATTTATACCGGAAGGGAGCCCGAGGTTGGCATGGATGTATAATAACAACTGGATACAGCGTAGGAGGCGGGGCCTCATTCATTCCTATGAGAGTTGCTCATTGGTGCATGATGATAAAATGGCCCAACTTTTGAGAGAGCGAAATGTCACAGATTACCCAGCATGCCTGAGAAGTACCCGTATGTGCGCTCATAGCGCATGCGCAACTTTAACCAAAATGCTCGTTCACATCAAGCACGTCAATTTGCGTACACGTAACAGCACCGCGCGTTCATGACAGCATGGTAATGGATTGTTATGATGGATTTGATATTAACGAGGCGGCAGTTAGCAGCTAGCGGCTAGCTAGTAATTATGCTAATGTAAATATCAATCGTTATGTACTTATATTACGCTGTAACAGGATCTAGTGATATCCAACAGAGCTTCATTTAGCATGAAAGAATGATTGCACTGTATATATATATATATATATATATATATATAGGCCTATACATATATAATAATTAGTGCTGTCAAAATTATCGCGTTAACGGCGGTAATTAATTTTTTGAATTAATTGCGTTAAAATATTGCCCAACATATAAAGGTTAGCATCCGGCAGTTTCTATGTGCTGAGGACCCTACTATTTCTAAAATAAACTATTCAACATTTCCAGTTTCACAATGTTTGACTACACTAATAGCTCAATGGCTACTTGGCCCCTTTTAGCTCATTGTTTTGGTTTTAGGACCCGCACAATATACTGTTTTGTTAAACAAGCAAAGCCAAGGAAAGGGCTTCATGTGAAGCTTAACCAATATACATAACTGATACTGTGTAAATATTCACCATAATAACTGTCAGGTGTTACTGTGGATTGTACTAACCAACTGACAAAGCTAACGTTAGCATGCTAATATCTCACTAATGAAGTGAAGTGAAGAAGCTAACTAATGGTGTTGTTGTGTTGAGACAGAGAGCCTGAATACTGACATGGTGAAGGCTGAGAACCCTGAGGCTGTGGTGGCTACAGAACCACAAGGTAAGAACATAGCGCTACATTATATTCACACTTATCATACACTCTTTCATATATATTTTCTTTTTTTTTCCTGAAAAGAAACAGCAAAACTATGGATCATTAACCTGAATTGCAGGAGAGCCATTAGGCAAAACACAGTGTAAAAAAACAAAAGCCCACGGAACAGTCGTGTTTGATGCCAGTTATTACACCATAGTGATTAGACAAATAACATTAACAAAGTTCAAAGATAGCCCTGGCTGGTTTCCACCTTAGTTTTCCCACTAAAATATCCTTAACTTAAAAACATGAAACGAGCCAGAAAACAAACATTTATCAGGGAAAAAAGTGCACTGCTAATGTGAGTTTACAGACTACTAGCTAGCATCCTAACTAGCTACTCAACTGCAGTACATTACACAGCAAGTTCCTCTAACAACATGTCGGCACCTGCCATGTAGCTACAACCCTTTTTTTTTATTACTTTGTCTCTTTGTCCCATCATTGCTTTGTCAGATCTGTCCGCAAGACGACAACTAAACTTAAAACGCTTGTTTTCGGAATGGAGTTGGATTGATCAGGGCTAAGCTAATGCTAACATTGTAGCTGCTCCATCAACACTGAAATTAACATCATCCAAATTAGGCATTAACATGGCAGGGATATTATTGTTTTAACCCATAGATATGTATATTTGGCTCGAAATGTAAAAGGTTTTATTAAGGAATTATTTGTGACTATTGCATTCTCATCTTTTTGCAAGACCTTGAGAATAATAAAACTATAAACATTAACAATACATTCAAAAAATATGTTAAAATGAAACCCACAGGTTACACCATCTAATATAATATCTCTTTATTATATTAAGGCCACTAATGTGTGTTTTTACAGTCCAACAGACTCTCCTGGAGCCTGCCAGTGCTGAACCTCCCACTGAAGAGAACGCTGTGTAACACACTACACACACAACTTAGAACACACACACAAAGGTCAACCACCTACATGCGCTATTTGTCCAAACATCCCCCACCTAACACCCCTCCCTGCACACACACACACAGCCATGCTACAGAATAGACTGTTGTGTAGCATGTCCTTGTTGCCCTGCAGCTCTGTGCTATAAACGTTGGGATTTGTAGACCTTTTTTGCTGAATGTGAACACATGGCCGAAAGTGTAACAAATCTTGCCAAATGTATCTGTAAATAGTAATTTATTGTGCTGTTTGAACACCACTAACAATGTTGGTTTGCAGTTATCCGGCCTTCAGCATGTACTTAAAACAAATTTAAAGAGCGGTTCATCTTTTTACACCATGGGGAAAGAAGCTCCTCTGGGGTGTGTGTCGAGCCTCGTAGGGAACTGGATTACTTTATTGATTGATTGGGACAATGATTTGTCAGTGATCACTGCTAGTTTCCGGAGTGAACGAGGGAGCGCTTTGAGACACACTGTTTCTGAGAGTGAATGAAGACCATTTGACCAATATTCCCCAAAATTCAAAGCCTCGTAGCAACTGATTATGTAATCACTTGTGAAATGTGATAAGGTAGTCAACAGTAGCAAGTGTTACCTCATAGAAAAATAACATGGTACTCTAGGGACAAATCTCATACAACTCAAGTTTTATCATGTAATACCAATGTTAATCTCTTAATCCTACAACATGTGAATTTTTTTATTTAATTTATTACATTATCAATTTGCTATATTATCATTATGAGGTGATCCTCTGTGATAATAATGTTATATTTAATATCATGATTAATTGAAGTTTCCCAAGCGCTCCACTATAAGTGAATGAAGTCCATTAGTGGGACGTACCTCATAGAACTGACTGCAGGTAGTTACTGTTTACATCATGTGACAGTGACATCACTAGTTGCTACATGTAGCCTGACATGTTGTCTATCCTGATGTACAAAGTTGCCTTATTCAGATTTGGATCTTTTTGCAGTGGGATAAAAAAGGCGTCCTAACATTTCCGTCTACTTACAACCTGTGACTTTTTATAGTGTAAATATATTCCGTTTTGTTTCAAGTAGCCTTTAATGACGATGCCTAAAGAAGGGAGCCTGGCTTAGTTTTCCAAATTGGTGATGGTGAAATGATTGTGAAGAGTTAAAAGAAATTGAGCGATGGGATTAGATTTGTTATCAAAAGTGGGATTAAAGTTCAGGAAATTCACCAGACTTGTAGCATGTGGCATAAAAAAACGATGCTAGCTTAATCAGTTCCCCTGCAGTTAGAGCTTCAAAATGCACAGCGTGTTCTTTTCTTCAGGGGGAAGATATTTGAAAAGGAAAATAAATAACTTTGGCACTTTGTTCAGGATGTGGCGAGGCTTGTGGAAAGGCACAAAATGTGATTTTTGTTCAAGATTAACTGCTATATTCAGAAGATAATAATGTTAGTACTATGTTTTATTGTGTTAGCAATGCGGTGCCAGTGTGTGCAGAATAACTCATTTGATCTTTTTCTCATTGTGGCCATTTTAAAATTACATTAATGATAAATCTACAGGGACGTTGAATGTATAAAAGTAGCATCACATTATCACAAAACTCTTTTGATACTGTAGACCAAAAAACTATTGCCCAATCATAAATAGATTTCGACAAATATCAACAATAACTAGATACCCTTATCATATACCAATTCAATGGTAATAATCTGCACCAAAAGGTTATGAGATATTATTCTATATATAAAGAAATCCATGATAATATTATTGAATTAATATAACCTTTGTTAAAAGTCTTAAGAATTGTCTAAACTTTTCCCACTTTATTGCGATTTCAATTATTTCCTTAGTATTCTTTAAACAGAAGTGTAAAGACATACCCGTTCTGAGCGCCCAATGGAAGGCCAATAGGAATGCTGCTGTTATAGCTTTAGTCCCAATAGCCAATGACTGGGTTCGGTTGGCATGATTGACAGCCACTGGCTCTCTGAATTCACTGTCTGAATATGGGCGTGCACTGTTAAATAATTGGGCAAACCCTTTTTTTTAAGCAAACAGAAGCCTTTGGTAGACTTCAAAATGGCCACAATGGAACAAGATTTTACAAGAGTGGGAAAGTAAGGTATTTGTGAAAGATGTCCGATGTGTCCCAACAGCCAATGACTGGGTTCGATTGGCATGAGAAGAGATTGAAGAAGTTGGCACAAAGACAATACTGGTTAAGAGGATATGCATACAAAATATAGAAGTCTGCTTTAGCCGTGTAGATGGAGTCAGCAGCAGTAGTTAGCTTTAGATTATTGAATAGCGTCATAACGAGTGTTTTTGGAAAGTTGTGATGGTTGTACATATTACTGTGAGCAGTTCTGTGTTTGTATTTTAGTCTGTAAGAGCATATTTATGCTCCATATTTTACTCTTTAGTGTATGCGTGTGTTTACACTCTTTGCCTGCTCTTTTTACACTTTGTACCCAACTTTCCTAATAACTTAGCCTAGCATTTTTGTAGATAGTTAACGCTTCCTTGTTCTGTACTGCCAATGCTTTGTTGATCGCCTGAAGAGGTCTCTTAAGTTCCTGAGCGAGAATGAGGGCTGCATCTGAAACCATTCACTGTTTTCTAAACTGTCTGATATTTAGTCTGTCGGTCGTTTTATAGCACTGCTCAGGATCTCTGGTGAGAATGATTGAACCCTATTTAGTGGGCTTTAAATATCTCCATATTTAAACATAGTGAACTAGAACGCACTAGGAGATCCAAGAACTCCGCCAAGACCCATTCCCTATGAAAGGGATACATAATTGTGTATCCACCCCATGATTTCGGATCTGCTCCAAATTGTAATGGGTTCATGATTGGATTGGTAGTTTTCTTGTAATTCCGGTGTCGAACAAACGGAACCGAAATAAGTAACCCATTGGCGGAGGTGAAAATGCTGCGTTCATGTCACAGGTGAATTGAAGATTTACAACTTCCTATACCTTCTTATGTGCAAATCTCCACACATCCAGCTAGTGCTTGGAACCATGCACGCCTCTTGAAATGTGCAATGGTTCCTTGGTGGCAATTGAGTAGTTGGTCTTTTGTACCCTAGAACCAATTAATTCACCTTTAAAAACAAACCAGATAGCCAATGTTAGGTTGTTAACGCCCAAAAAACTAGTTGAAACAAGCGTGACATGAACGTGGCGCTGGATTGATAATGACCTGAGTAGTGTCTGATAGATCTGTATCTACAGAAGTGAATGCATGAAGGATGTTTGCTGTGGCAGTATGTGTATGAGCTGTAAAAAGCGTTGGTGGTGTGTTCGATATTTGACAGGATGCAGCGCAGTCCTATGCCACACCCTGGTCTTCTCAATGTTGCCTTGGAAAATAAGACACCTCTACCCATAGTTCCTTTGTGGTTGATCCTACTGTAGAAGTCCTTAAACACTGCTAAAATGCAACCTTACACAGTTTGGAGTTGCTTTTGGAACAAAGTGTTTATGGACTAAGAGTGTTGGGAGCAGTGATAATAAACTTGCTTTGCCTGGGGGCCGCTTTGGCAAAATGACAGGAGGTCAGGGGCCAGTTTATAACTGAACCTTGCTCAGGTCGAATTGGTAGCAAGATGGTCTAGGTAAGGCATTGATCTTGGACGGTTGAGGTTAGGACAGGTGGTAGGGCAGAGGTGGTAGAGTTTTTTAAGACTTGCGCTAAAATTGCCATTTAGACTCAACAGTTTTCTGAGGTAATTTTAGATGATTGAAGATATTCAGTGCTTGGACTTGACATCAATTTGGAGGTTTGAGGCACTTTTTTTGGTAAACAAGCTCCATTAGTGTATTTTAATTCTTTTTTAAATATCCCCTTGTGAATGGTTGGCGAGCCACCCTATCGGCTGTAAGTTGAGTATCACTGGGTTGGAGTAACAAACCTAAACTCATGTGTTCACCTTGTAAGAGTCATGCCCTGCCAGCTGTAATTCAAATGGTGCTCCTCTCTTTGCCTTATACCCTGCAGTCTCACAGGGACGCGCCACAGTATTCATCCAACACCTCCGTAGCTGCACCCTGAGCAAGAGGAACACACAGAGCCTTCAGCTCCTTTGGGTGGTTACCTGGAGTGACCGTCCGGTAGCAGCACCCAGAGGACTGAGAGGCCTGAGTGTTTGGTCCAGATCTAGCAGCTGAACCTTACACAAAGCAAACGCAAAATGACAAACCTTTCTGTTTACTGAATGTATTGAATGTCTTTTGTGATATAGCAAAAACCTTTGGCCTGTAGCAAAAATACAAATTCACCAAAGATTCAGCATTGATTGAGATTGAAATTGCCTTTATGTATTGGGGTTGAATGAAAAAAGGTTTTTGGAATAAGCCTGAAAGAAAATAATTGAATCTGGGCTTGGATCTTATGTAACGCTAATTTCAATTGGTTTTACGGTAAGATAAAACGTGATTGATTAGATTGAAGGGTATCATATAATTACCATGCTCACTTTGAAACACGATGTGCGAATGACTCAGTTTTTATTGCCACTGTGGATGTTGATACTGCTTTAAGATGCAGCTAAAACAATTATCCTCGAACACGTGCCATACTGCTGTTTGGAATCGGTTGCCAGGAGTGCTCTCTGAAAAGGATTAGGGATCATATAGGTCCGTATAACAAAGCGTGCTAAAACAACAATATACAGATCTAACATCATGCTGTATTGAAGAAGATTTGGAACAATTAATTGAGAGAATAAACTTATCAGAAAACATTTTACTAAGGTAATAAATCTTATATAAAGTAGGGTCATTTTCTCAGACTATTATACAATCAGGACCTCTCTTTGCAAACACTGTAGTTGCCCCCTGCTGGTTACCCCTAGGTAAAGAACCAAATTGTATTATCCCATAATGCAACTCTAAATCGTTACCATATCAAATCAATAGGCGTAATCTATAAATGTGGTTATCGTAGCAACACAATTTGAATTATGCAAAACTGCCTCCTTAAGTGATTGTACTAATTAAGCCTGGATTACAGTTAGCTCGCTTTGTGGAGTGTTTAGATCTGCATTGTATCAGGGCAGACGTGCCTGAGTCCTCTTCCTGCAGTACACTCTAGTGCCTGTCAGCGGGCCATGCAAAGCCCGCCCAAATACAACCACCTCACGTCCCAGTTTGAGAAAACACAAAGAAAATCCCAGTACAGCTTTCCATTATTTGATATCTGAGGGCTGGCTTTGCATGGCCCCCTGTCACATACAACACACACACACCTTCAGCATACTGCTCTCATACACACTTAATGCATGCTTTTCTCTACATACTGTAACCATATGGTGGAGTGTATGAGTGTTGAACTCTGTGTCTTCCTGACAACTGAATGTTGGACAGTCTTCATTGCTTGAAGTGTAATAGTGAACTCTGCTTTTTCTCTTATTCCACTACGATAAGTCTCTGGCAATATGTTACGGAAACTTTTTACTAATATGAACCAATAAAATGTTTAAAAAGACAAGAACGAGTCTGGAGTTTTGATTTGTTTTTAAATGGAATGTCAGAAGTGATTATGGCTCATTAAGAGGTTTAACTTCTCACATAATTTACATAAAAAGGGATTTGTACAATTGCATGCCACAGGTACACAGTGAAATGTATAAGTCACATCGCATTAGAATAAAAGGGACATCTTTCAAACTGTAACAACACCAAACAGGTCAGAGGTGGTGAACCTGATTCTTGCTCATTTCTATCAAGTGTGGGCCCTCTTCTTTAACAGTGGATAATAACTTCAGTAATACTTGGGTAATACTGTTCTCAATCCAGTTTCTTCTTTAAATGCATTGATTTGTTTATGTCAATTGAAGTGTGCTCTTGAAATAAAGGCAAAGTGATCTAGCAGTCTTTTTTTGTTGAGAGCTGATCATTTAATTGTGTTCATTATTGGCATAACTGCTGTAACTGTACAATAATTACTTTAAAGCTTGAACATGTTAGTTCACAGTGATATCTGCATTATATGTCTTTTAAATAGAATTGTTTACACCAGATTTCTAGTCAACTGAATTTAGTCATCAATTGTTCTTAAATAATGTACCTAAAATTGAATCACAAACTCTAATCTTAAAATCTGTATTTTGTATCTCACACATTTGATCATATTTAACTTAATTATCAATTCTGAACTGTAATAAAAAATATCTTGGCATTTTCAATATTTAACATTTTCTCATCTTTATAAAAACACTGTCCTACGATCGTGTTGCTTTGAAGTCGATTCAATTCACAGTTTAACTTTTGGGAGCAGCTCCACACACACCTGTGTTCGGTTCGTTTGTGAGAAACACTGGCTAGAAATTATTTACAGTAAATGACAAAGTAGTTTGGGGGATCAGGGAAAGTAAAAAAAAATTCAAATAAAACAATCATTTAAAAAAACAAATATAGGAAATCATGCACAGTGTCCTTACTGTGGGGTTGGGGTTCATTGTGATTCTTCTCTGATTGGCCAAAAACCATTATTTTCATATTATTTCTGCTTAGCATAGCTCACACCAATGATTCTAATCAGTCAGTCACTGACATGGTAAAGGGAGAGGAGTGTGTGGGTGTGTGTGAAAAGTCACTGGCAGTCATGTGACTTCCTGGGCCCTGAGAAATATAGAAGCAATTCTTCATACAAACACCAGTGAAGTGGGTGATAAGGTTCTCACAGTGCAGGGGGAGCTGGTCTTTCTGAATACTTGATAGATTTAAATAATATAAATAATAAACACAGGTGTTGTATCAGGGTTGTTTGTAAAAATGTTAATATAAAATTGTAAACATGAGTACTAATTGGGCAAAAACATGCTTTATCTGTGTGTGTAGGGGTGTTTCCGGTGTGTGTGTGTGTGTGTGTGTGTCAGACAGCGCTGTGCAGTGGCGTGCTGTGTGTGGGGGAGTGTTCGGAGGAGGAGGTCAGGGAGTGGGAGGTGGCGTCTCTCTGCAGCTCATCCACCCTCCTCTGCAGCTCCCCCCTCAGCAACAGCAGCTCCTTCAGCGTCTGGTGCACCGGCACCTGCAACACACACACACACACACACACACACACACACACACACACACACACACACACAACACACACACACACACACACACACACACACACACACACACACACACACACACACACACACACACACACACACACACAATTAAAAAGCATAAAATAAAAGTAAAGATATGATAACTTTATGATAAGGATGATATAAAGAGAAAAAAGGTTTTGGTTTTACAAAAAAGTATCTGTGGTCCTAATCAGTGGCGCGCACAGACATGTATAGGGGCAGGTGCTCAAGAGAAAAAAAAGGGCACCTTCTGAGTGGTCGTGGCGGTTGCGCCGAAATTGTGCGCGCCGAAATTGTGCGCAAAAATGTGCCGGATAATGGCGGATTTTGTTAGTTTATTTTCGGTTTTTGGTTACTTTATTTCGGTTTTAGGGTTAGGGTTAGGTTAGGGTTAGGTTATTTAATTCTTATTTTTGCCTGATTTTACTGATTTATTATCAAAAAATTAATTATTTTAACATTTATTTTTATTATTCTAAATGACTTAGGGGGGTCCAATCTGAAGCTAGGGGGGGACGAAATCCCCCCCCCCCCCCGGGATTGACGCCCCTGGTGGAACCGCCGGCTGCCTTTAGCAGTGTGAGATTTATTAAAGGCACATCTTGTATGTCGTAATTGCATATATATTTATTTCAATAACCATATGCTGTCTGATGCAGATGCCTATCTAAAACAAATCAAGTAGTAGGCTTACTAGCTTCTACACGCTGAAGCAACTGTAGTCAGGGATGCAAACTCATCAGGTATGAAAAAGGTGACAAGGATCCGACCCCACGGAATATCGGCTTTAAAATTAGGAATAACAGAGGATTTTAGCAGTCAGAACAACTAAAGCAGCAGGTAATAATAACAGAAACACCAAAGAGTTAGGCTACATCTAATAGAAATATATAAAAGCATTTATTTTAATTGTGTAGCAGTCAGTTTATAATTTTGGCAGCACTGTTGAGCATTTTGAAAATGTATTTTCATGCCTTTTAGTATTTTTATAATACTTTCCTACTTTCACTTGAGGAACATTTTGAATGCAGGACTTTTACTGTAACAGAGTATTCCTACACTCTGGTACTTCTACTTTTACTCAAGTACAAGATCTGAGTACTTCTACTTTTACTCAAGTACAAGATCTGAGTACTTCTACTTTTACTCAAGTACAAGATCTGAGTACTTCTACTTTTACTCAAGTACAAGATCTGAGTAGGCCTACTTCTACTTTTATTAAGTACAAGATCTGAGTACTTCTACTAAAGTACAAGATCTGAGTACTTCTACTTTTACTCTAGTAGCCTACAATCTCTATACTTATACCACCTCTGTTTATAGCCTATGAAAAAAACGATTAGAAAACGAAGGCTAAAGCTAACGTTAGCAGATAGTGACAATGATATTGCGACAGAAAAACTTTTCAGTTCACATCACGCTCTGCCGCTCTGCTCTGAACACCTGAACGGCCGGTTCTAACAGCTGTTCACCAGCGGCTCACCCCCTAATCCCACCAGGAGCGTCTGCGCTGCGTTGCGCTGCGGCTGCGGCGTTTTTAGCGATCGCGGCCACTCTAGTCAATGGGTGCTATTCCACCAGACACGCTGCGCCGCGGCTCGAGGCGTCCCAGAAGCTCCTCGCCGCAAGGAATTTCTAAAATATAGGATGAATCCTATTTTTGACGCGGCGCAGGCAGGAAGTGGAATGTTCATCCAACAACTGCGAGGCTGCACACACGACGCTCCGCTTCCGCAACGTTTTGAAACGCGCCTGGTGGGTTAGGACGCAGGAGGAGGTCGCAGCGCGGCGCAGCCGCAGCGCAGCCGCTTCCAGTGGGATCAGGGGTCAGTCTGTGCCACAGTGACTCCGCACAGTTAACGAACACACCGTAGATAATGTAGCTGACCCTCATCCCGGAGCAGCAGAGTTCAGCCGGCCCGACAGGCAAGAAGACTCGAGCACACAGCTCGCGCTTCATATATTAAAAAAAGAACACCATGCGCGTCATGATGGCACATAACAGCTCGCGACCGCAGATTATTTCGGCGATTAGATAAAATGTAAATTATATTTGACGCAACTTTAGTTACATTTCCATGACTTTTCCAAAACTTTGGGAAAAATATTGTTTTCCATAACTTTTCCAGGGCCTGGAATTTGCATTTTGAATTTCCATGACTTTTCCAGGTTTTCAATGACCGTACGAACCCTGTATAGTTTAGTTTGGCATCTGATTTAGGGGATTAAACAATACACTCGTTGTATTTGTTACCTGGTGGTTACTTACTTGGTCGTCACTAGGGCACTTTTAATCGTGTTGCTGCGTGCTGCTGCACCACACACGTGGCCTGTCTGACTGACTACTGTCAGCTCTGCGCGCTGCGCGTTCACGTTGAGAGCAGGGAAGGGAGGGGCTGCAGCCAGAGCACGTACGGGAGTGCCGCGGGGCACGTGTGGGGATGTCTGACAAAATTACAACGCGCATTTGGGGCATTGTTGTATATATTAGAAGCTTTTAATCCAGAATTGATCGATGTTACCATGAGCCACAAAAAAAACGAACTTTCAAAAAAGGGCACATTGCTGTCAAGAGGGCAAAACGGGCAGGTGCTCAAGCACTACCTAGAGTCTATGTGTGCACGTCTCTGGTCCTAATAGTACTTGTCATAGCTTATGATGAGTCCAAACATCTCCATCACTGCTTTAATCCCATCAGCCCAACAGAGTTGGTGTACCTGGGGTCTCATGCGGGGGTTCCAGCGGGCGTAGTATGCGGTCCACAACTCCAGATGTCTGGAGGACACTAGCGGATACAGAACATGGTGCTCGTAGTCCACGTAGAAAGGGTTGGTGAAGTCCTCAACCTGGCTGTGAGGGGATGACAGAGAAGAGGACATATTCTGATCATTTAGTGTTTAGTGTCTCTACTGTGACATGTCTCCATGCTTTAATGTTCAAAAAGCTCTTTATTTGTCTCATACTGCCTGTGCTGCAGCACCTCTTTTCACCCTCTGTCTGAAACCAGAGCCCAGTCTGCTCTGATCAACAGTTTAGAGATGTGTCGGACATGTCCCTCCCCTTAGCCTACCTCATACATGTGTTGAAGCGCTAGCCAATAGAAGTATGAGTATTACGCGTGTACATTCACTCCTAATACTTAAAGTACATTTTTCGAATCGTACTTAAATACTTCTACTTAAGTACTAGTCTCGATGCAGAACTGTACTTGAAATTGAGAATGTTTACAGTGTTGTATTGGTACTTTTACCTCCCCAAAAAAGGATCTGAATACTTTTGCCACCACTGGTTACATACTGTAGCGATGTGACTATATTACTGAAGTAAACAAAGGAGTCTAATGGAGTGGGAGAGAAACTCCCTCCGAAGGGAAGCCAGGGATTTTAGTCTTTGCAGACCATTTACATGCACACAAACCTATAGAACACACTACAGGAAAGAAAACCCAATAGGGCCTCTTTAAACAGTCAGAATGGCTCCTCACATGATCAATTTTGTCCAGGTGGTGAGTATTTACCTGTTAATGTAGGACCACAGGGACACAGTCTGTGTCTGCACCTCCTGCACAGGACAGAAGAAGAGTTTAATCCAAAACATTCTTTCAATGTGACGTTTATCTGACAGAACGCTACACCTGCTAACAGAAGAATACCTTGGCTGCCCGCTCCTGCTCACTGTTATAGAGGAACGTTCCAAACAGACAGCTGTACAGGTGGTCCAGCACTGTGATCAGGAACAGCTCGTTGAACTCAAAGGCTGCTGGGAACTGTAGTCAGAGGAACACAAGTGATAAGATTGAGTGATTGAGCCTATGTACACAAGAATATCAATCAATCAATGTTTATTTATATAGCCCAATATCACAAATGTTACATTTGTCTCAGTGGACTTCACAGTTTGTACAGAATATCAGTATGACAATACGACACCCTCTGTCCTTAGACCCTCACATCGTACAAGGAAACACTTCCAGAGAAAACCCACAGTTTAAAGGGAAAAATGGGCTCATCTGTGAATTGTGTGCTGCTTTATGAAATGGTTCTGTCTGGTTATGACATGTCTGGACTCTGGGGTCAGTCGTTTTTGAGGTCTTGACTGACCTGTCGAGTCATCTGCCAAACACAGTCGATGAACTGGACGAAGAGAGGCGAGCGCTCTGAGTTAGCATGGTTCTCATCACCATGACCCACGCGCTGAAACACAGAAAGCAACACTTTCAATCGGCATAACACAAACCCTGGAGATCAGGTTTTAATTTTGTGTAATAAATAAGTGGCAGTAATATGTTATACAATGTGTAGGAAGGGTGATATAAGCATACAAAACTATTCTGACAATGGGGCATCCATTGCTTTTCTATCCATTTGAAGTAAACTGTGCTGGTGCACTGTGCTTCTTTAAATCTTTTGTGGATCAAAATAATAAAAACTTGTATACAAATAGTTGTTTTTTTATATATAACTGAGTCTGACCGCAAGTTGAATATAAAAGTAGTACAATAACTACAGGTAGATATAGTTTTGATCATGAATCAATGGTGATATCATCAGAATAACAACTTTTTTCTTACAGCAGCAAACTTGTGTCCAAAGCTAATCCATTCCTTCTCCACGAGAACCTGCAAACACACAAACACACATTATTATTCAGTACAGATGGAGACTGTAGTGTAAAGGTGATATTGTGATGCAGTGTGTGTGTGACCTGGAAGCCTCTGAGCGTTCTGTAGTGACTGTCCAGCATCAGCATGGCCAGAGAGGTGAGCTGCGCGGTGCGGTCCCAGCCGTCGCTGCAGTGCACCACCACCGACGACTTCCCCGACTCCAGCTTATCTGCCACCTTTGCTGCTCCTGATAACAACAACTACACACAACATGTACACACGTTAGTGAATTTACAGTAGAATACATGAATAAAAGACCCTCTGGTATACTGAGTATTGTGTTGAAGATGGAAATTAGCAAGCTAGCAAAGATCATCTCTTCTAATTTTGAGAGTCATATATCTTTTATCCATGGTCCTTGTTTAATAAAGACATAGGCAAGGCAAAACCTTTCAACACAAGGCAATTCAAAGTGCTTTACAAAAATGAAAAACATTAAAAGCATTAAGAAATAGTGCATCGGATTCACATTATAAAATGGTATTTAAAAACATTCATTTAGGCAAAGATCAATTAACTTACTGCAACTTGAATTGGACCATAGTCTCCTGGTGGAATGGTTATGTAAATGTGTGTGTCATCTGCATAGCTAGGCTAACTAATTGTTGTTTTTCATTATCTGAGCCAGTTGAAGCATGTAGATGTTAAAGAGAAGAGGCCGCAGGATGGAGCCTTGAGGAACCCCACATGTAATATTTATAAACTCAGATGTGTAGTTACCTATAGCAACAAAGTTTCGCTGTCCTTTAAATAGGATTCAAACCAGTTTAGAACTGTTGCCGAAAGTCCAACCCAGTTTTCCAGTCGGTCTAATAGTATGTTGTACTCCAGTGTCCAAAGCAGCGCTAAGATCTAATAATTCTAACACTGAGATTCTGCCACTGTCTGTGTTTAAGTCAGTGGTTCTCAAAGGAGAACGCAGAGGCATGCCAGGGGGGGCGCGCGAGACCAGGAGGAAAAATGGTTATAAAAAAACTGAAAAATTATTGATTCGAAAATAATATGATGCAGTACTATTACGTCTGGGTCTCTGTGTTTCATTAAAGCGTAAACAATTATTTCCGAGGCACACGTTTATATGATCATTATAGTTATAAAATAAATAAGAGAATAAATGAAAAACAGCTATGAAATACTATGACAGTAAAACAAGAATAACGTTTAAAAGGGTGATTTGTAAAATATCCATAAAGAAAAAGTAAATCTGTTTCCAGTTCTGTTTCATATGGGTGTTGAGAGAGGTATCCATAGATCTCTTCATTTTGCTCTCAAAGTGCACCAGATTGATGCTTTTAACTTCAATATTTAAAAATAAATCTTCCCGGGGGAGCATGCCCCCGGACCCCCTTATGTGAGGTCCACACACCACCTATAAAAATAGCACTTTACCTTTTACACCTATATGCCGTGAGCTGATTATCGAGCCTTCATTGTAACAGTCGCGGGTACGTTGTGTATTTGCGTGGGGAATGTTGCTGTAGAAAATTCCACTGTGGCGACCGGTACATTAATGGGAAACCCTAAATGTTTGAGCACCCTCTATGAAACGTCAAGCTACCCCACAGCAGCCCCAAAAGAACTCTGGCGCCGCCACTGAGCCTGACTATTTGTGTTGGGGGGGCCCGACTTTTTTTTTCTTCAATGGGGGGGCCTGACAGAAAAAGTTTGAGAACCACTGGTTTAAGTGGATGCCATTGAAGAGCTTAACAAGAGCGGTCTGAGTGCTCTGGTAAGGTCAGAAGCCTGACTGGAACAAATAAAAACAGTTGTTTGAATTTAGGGAGTTATTCAGCAGTTGAAAAACTACTTTTTCAATGATTTTACCTAGGTACGAGGTTTGACCTGTAATTAGTGTGAATGCTGTGCAACAGCATTCCACATAGTTCTTCAAATCTTTATTCTTCAGCTTCTTCTTCCTATTTCAACACATTTTTGCCGTTTAACTACTTCAGCATACTTTCAGCTACAGAAACCATTCAAATATTAAAATGTTCAGCTCCTTCAGGACATAGGTGCTATGATTTTTCTTCTTTATGACATTTATACTTTTTATAATATTCAGCTTTTTAAACTATTTTTTTTAACATGTAACTCAATTGCCGGCACCTTCAAATCTTCTTTAACCTACACCTAGCGCCAAATGCTACTCCTTCCACATACTTTCAGCTAGAGACTTCATTCCAACTTTACACAGACCTATTCAAGTTGTATTCAGATTTTTGAAATTTTTGACACTTTTTTAAATGTTAGTTACTTAGTTTGGAGCTTGGTAAAGAGGCCTTCTTCCGATTTTAACATTAGTGTGTATTGCGCCGCTCGTTAAGTCTAGAGTGCTTTGATCTCAAAACAGAGTGGAGGAGAGCTTGAAATTCGCCCCCAAAAATGTTTTAAACCTGCCATAACTCCCAAACCCATCATTCCTGGGACATCATTTTGAATGATAAACGTAGGAAAACCTCTCTTATGTTAAAAAATATATTTATTTTAAGCAAAGAACTTAAAAAAATTACTCTTGAGGACAGGGCCGGCCCTGACCAATTTGTTGCCCTAGGCAACATTTTAGCTGGCGCCCCCACCCCCCAAAATGCACTCACTATGACTCGCGCATGCACGTGCACGGTTATGGCATGACCACCAAAACGGAAAGATATGGACACAAGATGTGTGTAAATGTATTTAGTATCCTATCCATTTGAAGATGATTTAAGTGGGGGGTGGATCTAACCTCCTCTAGGGGGGTCCGGGGGCAAGCTCTCCCGGGAAGATTTTTTTTTTTAAATATTGAAGTTAAAAGCATCAATCTGGTGCACTTTGAGAGCAAAATTAAGAGATCTATGGATACATCTCTCAACATCAATATGAAACAGAACTGTAAGCAGATTTTCGTTTTCTTTATGGATATTTTACAAATCACTCCCCTTTTAAACTCTATTCTTGTTTAATAATAACAACTTTTGTTCACTGTCATATAGTATTTTATACCTGTTTTTCATCTATTCTCTTATTTTTTTATAACTATAATGATCATGTAAAGGTGTGCCTTTACCTCACTGAGCTGAGGTTATCAGAGCGGCTCAGTCTTTCAGGAGAGAGCTCTCTAAAGCTCTCCCCCCCCCCCCCCCCGCGGCCGCTTACACAGTAAATACGTTTTTTGGGAGTTTGATTTATTTTTAATTAACACAAATACAAAATTAAAACCTATATTTGCACACTAAAACCATTATTTCAAAAAAAGAACTATTTCACATAAACCTCTGGTTTTTACTGGGGCTGGGGCAGTTCAACTTGATTTTGGGGCACCATAGTTTATGGGCGCTGTGCGCAATATAGACGTAGTTCTGTTAGTATAAGATAATAAGATGTACTTGATTGATCCAAAATTGGGAAATGGTGTTGTTATGAAATATTAAAAATATATATTTTTTTAATTTCTAACCCGATGGGTTGATGCGCCCTTAGCATTCACCTATACTGCCTATGCCAAGGGCCGGCCCTGCTTGAGGACAAGGAAGTGAGAAAAACTTCACACATGTCTCCATTAAGGCCCATTGTAAATGTAGCCTCATCTTTCCTCAGAGCGCCAGCAGCACACCTTCAGATAAACGGCCAAAGGAGCCACATTATTGACCGAAAGTACACAAAAAGCACACTAAAACGCTCATCAGGGTCCTGACATGCTCACAGCATAGACATTTTACTGATAGCAGCTAAAGTTTTTCAACAATAGTTAGAAATGTAAGAGGTTTATTTCTCATTCAGAACAATGAAAAGGCACTGATCCCTGCACACAGTTTTCAGGGCCTGTGGAATTACACCTGAGTCAAGAGACTTGTCTACTATATGTACAGTAGTATATCTGAGGCCATGCAATGAGAAACCTTTTGGAAAAATCCTGTTGGTATAACAGTATCAACAGTACATAAATAAAAATGATGATTTATTGTGTGAGTTACCCGTATGTACTCCAGCCAGTGTGTCTGATCGATAGCAGAGTGCCAGTGGGCCTCGTCTATGGTGGGGTAAACCACGTCCTTCATCTTCCTCAGGGACTCCCTCATCACATGGATGTTGGGGATTTCCAGGAAGTTCAGCTCCACGTTTGGATAGAAACTCTCACTTTCAAACCCTCCGTCCTTCGCCTGCAGGAGTGAGAATAAAGGCAAATCAGTTGACGTGTAGCTGAGGTAAGGGAGAGGAAACAGGAAGGACGGATGTGTCGTACCTTGTTGGTGACTGCTACACTGCTCTGCCGGGCGTCAAAGATGGTGAGCTTGTGGGACTGGGCGTTGGCATCCATGATGATTTGGAGGTAATGCTCGTCCTCTTTGCAGCGGCGGTCTGAAGGGCCTACTAATGGCTGGCTGCAGCGAATGATGGTGGCCTGAGTCTCTGGGTGGATCCAGGACAGGACCTGCAAGAGGAGCAGAGCCAGGTCAGAACCAGGAGGGGCTCAGAAAACACATCAAAGAGCCACAGAGTCACAGAGCTGATTCTAAACATGGTTTTAAAGGGTGGTTATATCTCTCACAGGCTCCGCCTTCTACTGGACTCTATGGGTACTACCTTATCCTGCGTGCATTCTCCCACTGAGACTTCTATAGATGTTGCCGGCCTAGGGCGGGCCTACCTGAATGCTCGCTCATCACACCGTATAAAAGGAGGCCTCGCCTCCTGACCATCATCCTTTTTCTCTTCGGCAGCGGAAGTGATTCCACGAGGAGCTTCGAGACGTTTGAGAAAGTGAAAGTAGAGAGTATGGAGTCAGTTCTTGACCATAGGACCTGCCCGAAATGTCCGAACCTGATTGCGGAGCTGATCCGCACCCCTTCTGCTTCATGTGCTTGGAGCCTGACCACGCGGTGAACGGTATGGGCCCGACGTGCCCAGCCTGCCAGATGATCCCGCGGCTCACACGGGAGCATCGTGGGCAGCACTTCCTGGCGAGGTATACCCCGCAGGAGGAGTCGGAGGAGCTGGATCTCGACGTCGTGGACGCGGGCGATTCGGGAAGCGAGGAGACATCCTTCCGGTTCTCCCTTCCGTGGGGCCAGGCGGTTCCAATGGAAGACGAGGACGCCGCCTCGCTGTCCGGAGGTCCAACTCTCAGGTCTGCGCGGATGGATTTCCCGGCGGTGATGACTCTGACGACGGAGCGTGTAGGCTTACCGCTCCCCCCACCGCTGCCACCGAGGCCTGTAAACCGCCTGAGATCGGGGTTTTACGGCCCGGTGCATCCGGCGCAGCCGACCTTCGTTTCGCCCCAGCTGCTAGAGGTATGGCGGTGTGTGGAGGCGACATGGCAGCAGCCATTAAAAACGAAGGCCTCGATAGCCGCCATGGCGGGTATCATTAAGGTGGTGGATCGCTCGGACACGACATGTCCGGGTGTGCCCCCCCTCGATGAGAACCTGGCGGCCCATCTGCTTCCGCGGGCGGCTGGTTGGGCGGAGGGTAAACGTCCCCTGCCCCCGGACCGAGACACCCTGGAATATCTGGATAAGATGTTCAAGCTCGGTACACAGATGGCGGCTGTGGCCAATAATCTCGGCGTGTTGGGCGTCTCCCTGATCACCCCTCAGGCAGGCGCCCCCGCCCTCTCGCCTCAGGACGGGAGCGATTATTCGGACCGCGCTGTTGGTCAGATGAATAATCTGATTTATGGCGTGGCCACCGCAGCAGGGCGGATGATTTCCCTGGCCACAGTGGTGTCTCATCACGTGTGGCTGGGACTCACCACGCTGTCCAAGAAGAACCGAGAGGATCTCCTTGGAGCCCCCGTATCTTCGGAGAGGCTCTTTGGGTCGATCTCCTCGGTCACGCAGCGTTTCAGTCGCCTGGAGGAAGAGAGAATCCAGCTTAGCCGCATGCTACCGCTGGCATCTCCTCAGGCCCCGATACGCGCTCCTCCACGGGTTTCCATGCAGGTGAGGGAGCCCTCCACTTCTACGGCACGCCTCGTGGAACCGGCGTACCGGCAGTCACGGGGAAGGGCTGCCCGACCGAGGCAGGCTCCGCAGCAGCAGAGAGCGCCCGGGTGGGGAGCTCCATCTTCCCGGAGTTGACTAGCGGGGGGAGGTAGCACCTCGGTGGGGGGAGAGATTCTCTCTACCGGGGACGCGAGGTCGAATCCCGCCTCCTCCCTATTTAATGCCCAGATCCCCGTTAAAACCTTTACAAATAAAGATGGTGTTGATCTGTATCCAAGTCTGAGTGTCCTTTGTTTCCACAATACACTTACACATGTTGATGACTGTACAAATTCCCCACTCGCCGCCCCAGCTGTAGCTCCTGTTAGGGAGGAGGCTAGTGGGAGGGCGCAGATGGGAGTAATAAACCGCAGGCAGCGCTATTATAGTCCGATGCGGGTACAGGGACATTATGGCCGACGTATTTCTGTTTGAAAACACTCTATACCTGAAACTAAGACTCCAAATAATGCTGTTTACCATAGTGGTAGGGGCTGCATTATAGCAAAGCCCGCACTTGTAAAGAAGCGTGTGGCGGTGCGTTCAGGGGCCTTAGTAAAACACACTACGCCTGTAAGAGCTCCGATTAATGCTGTTTTCCGTAATGGTGAAAATAGCATTATGGTGGAGCGTGCGCTTACACGTGAGCGTGCGGCGGTGCGTTCAGGAACCTCAATAGATAATCGGCCCTTTCTGTCTCGACCCCCCACGGGCAAATCTTCCCTTCACGGGGAGTTTTGCTGCGGAGCGGGTCATCAGAGAGTATCACAGATTTATAGCTGCGGCCCCACAGCTGAGGGCTTACCCATTAACACAATGTTATGGGGAATGGAAACTCAGCTGTGTACTAACAAAGTGGATGGACAGGACGCTGAAACGGGGCTATTCACTCCAGTTTTGCAGCATCCCACCTCCTTTTATGGGCATGCGAGAGGTAAATCTATCTTCCCAGGAGGAGATGGGTTTCCTTTTTTTTTTAAAAATGTACTATAATTTAGAAAGGTTTTTGTGAGAAATCATTTCAAAAGTAAACTTATTTTTCATTTTATATTTCAGTAGGGTGGAATGGTGTTGTTGGACGACAGTGCGCGTATACATCAGGGCTCCACCCACTGTACCCATAGAGTCCAGTAGAGGAAGGAGCCTGTGAGAGATATAACGTTGGGTTACGTATTGTAACCCTTGTTATATTAGCACAGGCGGAGCCCTCTACTCAGGGCACTGTCTGTCTTATTGCGCTCGCTGAAGAGAGGTGTAGGATGACAGTCAGTAGGTCAGGCCTCCTTTTATACGGTGTGATGCGCACGCATTCAGGTAGGCCCGCCCTAGGCCGGCTACGTCTATAGAAGTCTCAGTGGGAGAATGCACGCAGGGTAAGGTAGTACCCATAGAGTCCAGTAGAAGGCTCCGCCTGTGCTAATATAACAAGGGCTACAATACGTAACCCAACGTTTTGTCAATACTGACCGGTATGCGGTGCTTTGCTCGGAACACAGCCACCCGCTTGATGTCGTCTTCTGCGATGTTGGTGGGGATGACCAGGATGGAGGGATAGGTGTCACACAGCTCATAGCTGCTGTTCATCTTGCTGAAGGTCCAGCTCTCATTAGGGAGGCCCTAAAAAAACACCCAACCACATGAGAGAAACCATTACAAGAGTATTACATGTGATATAAATACACAGTGTTTCATGTGGGAGAGAGAGGTTTGTTGTTCGCTTGCCTGATTCTTAAAACCATAATCATTTTTTTGACTAGAATAAGGTTTATATGCAGATGTCGTTTCACTGGAGGATTTTGATACTACTTGGCACTGGGTTATTTTGGTTGCCGAGATATCAAGTACCAATACCCTGCCAGTGGTACCACAGGGGCGGACTGGGACTAAAATTCAGCCCTGGAAACTCACCCAGTCCGGCCACATGAAATGTCAAATGTTTGAAATCCGCTGTTTATTATTTAAAGCTTTACGTCCGATTGTGAAAAAAGTCACAGTTTGTCGTAAAACTGTTGAAATATAAGACTATGAAAAATACGCAACTAGAAAGACTACAAATCCCAGAATCCCGGTCCCGCATGCTGGCTCTTACGGAACCGACTAACTCCCCTTGTGTGTATGTACAGCTCTCAACATGCCCAGACTCGTAGTGATTTTCACCTCTTTTAATACTTTTCGCCTCATTCTGAAAGAAGTGAAATGTGCCAACGTGACGGCCGTCTTGGTGTGTGGTGCGAGACGGGAGATGTAGTTCATTGAGCGGTTTCACACAAAAAAAAGTGTTACTTCACAGTTTTCCGACACTTTTTTATTTTTTTGACTTGCAAAATTATCTTTTAAATTGACAAACATCATATGTGTAATTCGTGGCACAATTCTCAAACGGGATCAAAAGATAATCTTTCTCTCGCCATTGACTTCAATACATACTTTTTCCGAAATAAGGTCCCATGGAGGTCCCCAGAAAGGGAAGGACTTCGCCTCTCTATTGGCCTTGGCATGGCCCTGACCAATCACAGGTTGCGCAGGGGCATGACGTGAGCCTCATCTGATTGGTCAATCCCTCCATTTTTTTTCACCAAGGATAGCCAATTTCGGCGAGCCTCCTCTCGCAACAGAGGGTGCAATCTACTGTTTCACCATAACATCTAGAGAGGCGCTGTTTCACTCTTTGTAAAATACTCAATGAGAATGGGGGAGAGATGGGCCGGCAGCAACACACAGCACAGAATAATAACCGAAACTAAACGAAGTGTTTTCATTTATTTATTAAAATCATAACCACAATCCAAAAAAACAGGGGAAGCCTGGCTTCCCTTGGCCTCCAGGAGAAAACGCCACTGAGTTCAAGGGATAATTCTCACCCACCTCTTGCTCTTGCCCTGCACTTGTATATGTGCCAGTTGAGCTGGTTCTTCCACCAGCTCAACTCTGTGTCCCTCATCATGAACGCAGGAGGCTGGCTGTATATCTGAACTCGCACCCTCATCATTCTCTTCATCATCTTGCTCTTGTTCTAAGCTGCTGCTGATAGTGCTTGTAGCAGCGCTGCTGCCAAAAAGGTCTGTCAATTTGCGACATTTATATGCTTCACCTGCGAGTGACTTCACCTTTATTTCTCTTGCCTTCTCGGCCCACCTTTTTCTTTTCGTTTTCTTTGATTATGTGATTATTTGACAGATAAGAACCACACAACTGCATTAGCGGCCGCTGTCGCCCTCTGTCGGCCGTCAGCGCAATTTAAATGATGACGTTAAACAATTATTTTTTAAAGGGCCGGCCGGCCGTCAACGGCCCTTGACGACCGGCCGTTCTGTGGTTCTCCAGATTCTACAGATGGCCAGTCCGCCCCTGGTGGTACAACATCAGAGTCATGAGTTTGTCTTTTCTAACAAAAAAACGTTTTCCTTGCCTGCTGCGAAATCTTAACCTCTCCCAGAGAGACTAGAGAAATATGTTACTTATAACTAACCATGACTACCCAACACTAGAAAAAGAAGGGTGAGCAAATACGTATTGAGTTGGTTGCTATTTAAAACCTCCCAGCTATTTGACACAAAATAGATTGGACCTTTAAATGTCAAAGTTTTGCAGGAAGCGTGGAGTTTCATTGCCAGTAACTTCACAGCAATTACAGAAAATGGCAGAGGAACTGATAAGATTATTTGTGTTCAAGAGAAAGTGAGAGCACCAAGGAGGATTAAACCTAATTAACACAGTAACATGGTTTTATAACTTGAGTATGTAGAGACTTCATGTGTTATCAGAGAGAGCTGGATGTAACAGCAGCAGAGTGTGTTACGGCCCGTCCACACAGCGGCGTGTGTTGAAAGCTTCACCATTCACTTTGAATGGGGTCACGTCACTTTTTGCCGAACTGCATTGTGGGAAGCGAAGCAGAGCTTTGCTGGCGTGGCTCGCTGCAAAAGTTGAGCAATGTTCAACTTTTGAAGCCTCGGCAGAAGCGTCAGCCAATCGAATCATATGCCAGTACAAGCTCTAGCCAATCAAACCGCTGCTTGTGTGTCAGGGGCGGGAGATTCATGTGATTGGTTGTTGGTCGAGTTTCAGACACGCCCGCCGGCAAGCTTCAACGCACGCCGCTGTGTGGACAGGCCGTCAGAGTGTCAGTGAGTTACCTGACGTCTGTACTCGGCTGTCGGGTCGTACACCTTCCAGCCGTCCACAGGAAACTGCTCCTTGTACAGGAAGGCAAACAGAGGCTGCAGGAGGGAGACAGAGGACAAGTGTAAGTATTCAGTCTCTATCAAATTCACTTCATGTAGGAGAAGTCCTCATTAATATCTGAATATTAGTTGCACTATTAAGTCTTGATTCTTTAATTGAAATAATTGATCAGTTGGTGACTATACTGCCACATCTCCACTATGTCCGATATCATTATCGTCATTACAAAGACACTCTCTGCTTTGCAATGTCAAGTGCAATAGTATCATGTTCAATTACGTATCTGCCATTATGTTTTTTGTACTGTTAGAACATCGCTCCTCACTGCACAGTTTCCAGTCATTATTTGTGCATCTTTGTTTCTTGTATTTTGTCGTTTAATTTGATCTTTTACTGCACTGTTAGTGTACAACTTTGTTATGATTATTACTGTATTTATTTTTATGTTCATTGAACTCAATGTTTTGCAACTCCCGCGCAGGAATTTCCTTTGGGAAAAATAAAGTCTTATCTTACAATCCCATCAAAACATCCCAAAACCAAAAGATTAAAAACTAGCTCCACATGTATTATTTGTGACTTTAAAGTGATGTTCAGTAATCAATAATTATATATATATCATTCTGAAATGGGCTGCCTGCATAATGCCTACTTTTACTTTAGGTGCTTCGATTTTTCTATGCCTATACTTAGATTACAAATACAATACTTTAACATGTAACAGAGTATATTTACACTGTGGTATTGCTACTTTCAGCATTCAGTGCACACACGTCATATCTTGCCAACCTGAGTAAACACATGTGATGAGACTGACCAGGCTGTGTGAGAGGGGGAAGGCGTGTTTGGCCAGCAGCTCCACCACGTCTGGATTACTCTCCTCCGTCTTATAGGCGAACCTGGGACTCCTCATGTCCTAACGCAGGGAGGACATGACATCATTAATCATCAGTGCTATTGTAGACTCATCCCAGATTTAAAGAGAGGTGATTCTTTAGTACCTTGCAGACTAACTCCAGTCCTTTGGTGTTCTCTCCCTGGTTGGGGACACTGATGGTCTCCAGTCTGCTGATGACTCCCAGGTTCACATCCAGGATGAACGGAGACTCCTGAAGGAGCACAGGGGACATAAACACACAGCTCTACAGAGAAATAGTCCGAGGATGTGAATTGAATAATGAATACGATATTGACGTACCCTTTCCACACTGGTGAAGTAGAGCTTGTAGTCTGTGATGGTCAGGGTTCCATTAACCAGACCACTGAAGGGACATATGTACATCACATCCTTCACTGCACGTCAACACAAACACACAGAGGCACACAAAGGTTTTCATTTAGGGCCAGGGAGTCAATATGTACATACGCTGTTCTGTTTTAAAGACGTCCTGTTATGCTTTTATGGGGGGGGGGGGTCCTTCTCCTGTAGTGGTTTTTGTGCATGTAAATGGTCTGCAAAGGCTAAGATCCATGTGTTCCCACCAGAGGGAGTTTCTCTCCCACACACTCTTAATTATTGTGTGTCAAATTCTGAATTAATAAAGTAACTAATAAATACCTCTGTAAAATAAATATAGTGGAGTAAAAACTACAACATTTGCTTCCAAAATGTATTAGAGTAGAAATGTAAAGTAGTATTAAATGTAAATACTTGGGTAAAGCACAAATACCTCAAATTTGATCCTAAGCTACTTTCCACCGCTGTATGTACCTATCGCGCTTCTTTTGGCTAGTGCTCCAACACATTGTCAGTGATAGGCTAGTGCTCCAACACATTGTCAGTGATAGGCTAGTGCTCCAACACATTGTCAGTGATAGGCTAGTGCTCCAACACATTGTCAGTGATAGGCTAGTGCTCCAACACATTGTCAGTGATAGGCTAGTGCTCCAACACATTGTTAGTGATAGGCTAGTGCTCCAACACATTGTCAGTGATAGGCTAGTGCTCCAACACATTGTCAGTGATAGGCTAGTGCTCCAACACATTGTCAGTGATAGGCTAGTGCTCCAACACATTGTCAGTGATAGGCTAGTGCTCCAACACATTGTTAGTGATAGGCTAGTGCTCCAACACATTGTCAGTGATAGGCTAGTGCTCCAACACATTGTCAGTGATAGGCTAGTGCTCCAACACATTGTTAGTGATAGGCTAGTGCTCCAACACATTGTCAGTGATAGGCTAGTGCTCCAACACATTGTTAGTGATAGGCTAGTGCTCCAACACATTGTTAGTGATAGGCTAGTGCTCCAACACATTGTCAGTGATAGGCTAGTGCTCCAACACATTGTCAGTGATAGGCTAGTGCTCCAACACATTGTTAGTGATAGGCTAGTGCTCCAACACATTGTTAGTGATAGGCTAGTGCTCCAACACATTGTTAGTGATAGGCTAGTGCTCCAACACATTGTCAGTGATAGGCTAGTGCTCCAACACATTGTTAGTGATAGGCTAGTGCTCCAACACATTGTCAGTGATAGGCTAGTGCTCCAACACATTGTTAGTGATAGGCTAGTGCTCCAACACATTGTCAGTGATAGGCTAGTGCTCCAACACATTGTCAGTGATAGGCTAGTGCTCCAACACATTGTTAGTGATAGGCTAGTGCTCCAACACATTGTCAGTGATAGGCTAGTGCTCCAACACATTGTCAGTGATAGGCTAGTGCTCCAACACATTGTCAATGATAGGCTAGTGCTCCAACACATTGTCAATGATAGGCTAGTGCTCCAACACATTGTCAGTGATAGGCTAGTGCTCCAACACATTGTCAATGATAGGCTAGTGCTCCAACACATTGTTAGTGATAGGCTAGTGCTCCAACACATTGTTAGTGATAGGCTAGTGCTCCAACACATTGTTAGTGATAGGCTAGTGCTCCAACACATTGTCAGTGATAGGCTAGTGCTCCAACACATTGTCAGTGATAGGCTAGTGCTCCAACACATTGTCAGTGATAGGCTAGTGCTCCAACACATTGTCAGTGATAGGCTAGTGCTCCAACACATTGTTAGTGATAGGCTAGTGCTCCAACACATTGTCAGTGATAGGCTAGTGCTCCAACACATTGTCAATGATAGGCTAGTGCTCCAACACATTGTCAGTGATAGGCTAGTGCTCCAACACATTGTCAGTGATAGGCTAGTGCTCCAACACATTGTCAGTGATAGGCTAGTGCTCCAACACATTGTCAGTGATAGGCTAGCGCTCCAACACATTGTCAGTGATAGGCTAAGGCGCTGGACATCATTAGGCGGTTGACCAATCACAACAGAGCCGGCCAGCTAACCAATCAGAGCAGACTGGGCTCTGGTTTCAGACAGAGGGTGAAAAGAGGTGCTGCAGCACAGGCAGTATGAGAGAAATAAAGAGCTGTTTGAACATTAAAACATGGAGACACGTCCCAGTGGAGACAGATACTAATGTGAACCTGGAAATGAGCAGACTAGGGCCCCTTTAGAAAAAGATCTTGAACATGGACACTGTGATGAGCTTACCTGTGGTCTGCACTGTTTCTCCTGGTAGCAGAGGAACCTGGTTCTGGGACATAGTGACCTGCGCCCCATACCTCAAAGCAGGAAGGTTCTGTAGAACAAAGACCAGTAAGTGGGCTGGAGAAAAAACAGCATGCAGCGGGTAGACCTGCTACACTGACACAACACCGTACTCAACATGGTGCTACTGAGAGTTGGAGAGCGGCTGTACAGAATAGTTTATTGCTGTAAACCTTTTCTTAGTATTTCATTGAGGGCTGCACAGAGGTGTTTTTGGACTTTGTGATCTAAACTTAGGCCTTTTTAAGTCCAAAACATTTATTTCAAAAAGAGAGATCTAGGACAGCACTACTTAAACAAACTGTAACTTCAAACTAAATAAATGGCTTCTAAATGTGCATTTCCTTTTTGAATAGTTTCCAGTGGCTTTTAAAAAAAAAAAGTCCTCTTGGAAAATGACAACTACTGCAGGCTAACTTAAAAAACCTCTGTTTATGAGTAGAATGCGTTAGTTAAAGACAAGCCGTGGTCTGATTGGACAACACGTGGATTCACACTGCAGATGGATGCCATTCACTATTCAAGACTGTCCAGCAGAGCAACATGGGGAAGTTAAGAGAAGTTAGACTTCATGCAAGTTACCTCTGACGAGCGGTAGCAACAACCAATCAGCTAGCTCTACTTATTGCAAAATAAATATAACATCACTGAGAAGACACTGTTTGCTTTAAGTGCGGGTTCCCAGAACGACAAAGATAAGAGAATGGAAAAACACAATACATTTGATATATACTGTATATTTAACTTATGTAAGATTATTGTCCTGCCTTCTCTAGGGTAACAATCAGCAGGCATAGGATGTCAATGTTATTGTAAAGATGCTGAAACATTGATCTGTATTAGTCAATGCATGAAGAGCAACAGATTACATGCAACATGTGATTATGTAATCAGGATACAAAACAAGGTAACAAATAAGAAATCAGATTACAGTAACATTTAAAAAATAAATAGAGATTACTAGCAGGGTGACAGTGTTACAATACATTTTGAAATAAAGGTTGATATATTATAGGTAGACGTACTGAATGAATTTCCTTTATGGTTTAAAGAAAAATACAGTCTATGCTTTTGATTATTGTAATAAGCATAAACAGCATTTGTAAACTATTACTACCTTTTTATATTACCTGAAATATCTCGGTTTCTTCTTTTCTAAGGTTACATACATGTTAAGTAAAAACATTTGATTGTTATTTATTTTCTCTTGTTTTTGTTTGCATTGCATTTGATATTGAGGTAATCAAAAAGAAACGGAAAGTAATCAGGTAAGATTACTTTTATATTTTGATAGTCAAATTAGGTTACTGATTGCAATTGTTCACATGTAACTAGTTATGGTAACAGAATACATTTTTAAAGTAACCCTCACAAACCAGTGCATGAATTGTAAATGTATAAATTCCAGAGAAAAAAACAGGAATATTTTAAAATCCTACGGCGGGTTTAGGAATGAAGCTACCTAAAGAATGTTAAATGTGTTAATGAAGAATGGTCAACATGTATACAGCAGAGATATCCCTACTTTTAGTCAGGGGTCAATACGGGTTGTTAAAACTCCAAACCTGTATACTACATTGTTGTGTACGTTGTGGTATAATGTGTTATTTGCTGCCATTCCAGAGTGACAGACAGAAGGAGAGGAGGAGGCATGCAGAGTGAGGAGGAGGAGGAAACAGGAGGAAGGACAGACAGAGGCAGAGAGAGAGACTTGCCAGAGAATCAGAATCACTCTCTCCATGGTAACAGAGCTCTTCATCTTGTGAGTCTTGCTGCTGGGGAGAGAGCCAGCATGGAGAAAGTGACAGAGAGAGAGAGAGATAGCAAGAAAGAGAAGTTATACAGTAATCGGACATTGTTCTTAACGATGGATCTAGTTATTATATTAAATTCCCACTCCTTGCATATTCCATATTTAAACACTTTATTGCATTCACAACAATGTATTCCACATGATTTGAATTCACGTCAGGTTTTCTAAATGTGCACAATTAATGCTCGGCTCTCCTAGCTGATAACATTCCTGTTACCTCAAGCCATGTTATCTGCTAATTCTGAGGATTTTTAGAGATCTCTTTTTAGGATTTATAGAGCAAACACAAAATTGTATAATGTCAAATAAACTAACTATGTTGCTGCTGCGGTTAAAGAGGCCCTATTCTTTTGGGGGGGTTTTCCCTGTCCTGTAGTTCTATAGGTTTGGGTGCAAGTAAATGGTATGCAAAGGCTCAAATCCCTGTGTTCCCTCCAGGGGGAGTTTTTTCTCCCATAAACTCTCTTTTTGTTGAATATATCAATATTATTATGAAAATTGATAAATACTTTATTTTAACAATACCGTATTCTGTGTTTCACATTTGTTATTTTTTATTTGTTTTTTTCAATCTGTTCGAAATAAAGATGGAAATGAAATTCTATTGGCTAGAGCTCCAACACATTGTAAGTAATACGCTAAGGGCCGGGACATCTCTAAGCGGTTGACCAATCACAACAGAGCCGGCCAGCTAACCAATCAGAGCAGACTGGGCTCTGGTTTCAGACAGAGGGTGAAAAGAGGTGCTGCAGCACAGGCAGTATGAGAAAAATAAAGAGCTTTTTGAACATTGAAACATGGAGACATGTCACAGTAGATTCACTACGTACTAATTTAACACGGTTATGTTATCTTAGCAAAGTGCATTAGTATGGTAATATGCTTTAGTTAGTACAACTGATGCAGATTGGAGGTATTAAATGATTACGTATTAACTAAAACCTCATGATGGAGCTAGAGTAAAGGTTAGAGCAGGACCACCAATGTTATTGTTCCTCATCCTGAACAGGGCCGAATCAAATTTCATGACAATCCATCCAATAGATAGACTTTTTACTCTGAGCCTAAGTGAAAGACTGGCCAACACTGTTGTTCCTTCGACAGTGTGACACTACATTTCTTGCAAAAAAGACTTGAATGAACTCTGTTGTTGTAAGATCCCAGTGCGGAAACTGGAATTCAGGAATGTTACCGCCTCAGTGAAAGAAGGAGTGTTTGTAAGGGTAAAGGACAGAGAAAAGGCATAGAGAAAGGTACAGAGAAAGAAAAAGAAGCAGCAGGCATCAGGTTGAGCTGGAGGCAGAGTTGGAGACTGTTCTGTATATAGAGGAAGCACAGTACATCTGCCCTCAGTCACCACTGACAACCAACACTCATTTTCATGCAGTTCAGTCACATGATCACATCCTGTTTACTTTACACAAAGCCTGCTCACATTGAAATTCAAAACTGGACTGAAACATACTATTGTTTCACCCATTCACCACATATTGTCATTATTGGACTTTAATATTTAAGAGCTTTGTTTTTAAATTGATTTCCCATCAAATTGCTCTTGGGGCATGAAAAACAAGATTTTTACTTTAGTTTATTTTTATCTAGTTTTTTAAAATTTAGAAAAAAAATGTTTTATATGTCCACTCAGGTGGACAGTATGCGTTCAAGTCTAAACTGAAAACTTGTCAATTTGGAAAAAATGATAAATAAAGATGTGCAAACTTAAAATGACATTATAATAACTTAAGTATATTGATTTAAGGCCCAAAAAGATATTACAGATGAAGTATTTTCAAGAAGAACAGTAGCAGTAACAGTATGAATTTTAGTGTATATAGCCAGTGATGCATGACGTCCACTTTAGTGGACAGGTGAATAATCATAATTTTCTGCAAACATAAAATCAATACTTTGACAATTTATGAATTATATGATTCCTTAGTTGTTACTTGATGTCACCAAATGTTTTATACCTGCAGGGAGCGCTTTCCATGAAAGGATTGGCAGGATATCGGCAGGTGACTTGGTCCATCTGGCTTTCTGTCGTTCGTCTTGGTTTAGAGACATGTATCATGCACTTGCACTGACTTTCCACTGATTGGCAGTGTATGGGATGATGCAATAGGGTCCTATGTAGTGGCTGATGGTGCAACTATGCCATCAAAACCCATGCATATACAAGGAAACACCTTTTGAAAAGCTGTCCACTGTAGTAGCCTCTATGCGTGAAAGGACACACCGAACACACAGCATATACACACACATTTCTAAATGTAGTTGATATGGAATGGAAACGACTGTATTCATTAGGCGCTTTCACACCGGAGTACTTTTCCCAGTATAGTTCGGATAGTTTTTGAAATGTTGTGTTCACACCAAAAAAAGCCGGAACTAGAACTTAGTTCATGAGAACCTTTTCACCCCATTATTAGTCCCTGCTAGAGAGCAGGTACTTTCATGGGAGAAAAAGGTTCCCATTTCTGATTGGCTGGCCGGATTGCAAACCACGCCCCGTAAAACTCGGAAAAGTTTTGTGAAGCAGCCATTGTATTTGCTGGCATTAGCATTATTAGCATTAGCCCCGCGCGCCAACGGAGAGAGACTAACTTATGACAACACAAAAAAAAACATGGGAGCGGTGGAGATGAGGAGGTGTCGGCGTTCTCGTGATTTACTCGGAAGGCGGGACTGGCTTCTGTGGAAGCAGCTGGGAATCCCAGCAGCTTCCACAGAAGCCAGTCCCCAACTCCGGGGACTTCCGGCCGGGTGGCAGTATACGTCGTGAAGTTGTTTGCGGCCTGCCAGTAAACCCGAAGAAGAAGTCACGTCAGCGGCTTCATTTGCCTATTCCTCCCTCAGGGACTTATTCCGGTGTGAACGCGATCTTCATCAGAACTAAAGAGTTCTGATGAACTAAGTACTGGGAACTAAGTACGGCAAAGTACTTGGTGTAAAAGCGCCCATTGTCTGATTTCAAAGTGATGGTTATTTCTTCTTTGTGTTGTGACATGTAATTACATTCTGTATGAGGTGACGGTCGGCTGCAAACACAAGAGCTCAAAGGAAATGCAACAAAGTGGATTCAAATTTTCAAAGCAAATACAAAACCTAAAACCTGCAGTGATGTGAGAAGAGAGCTGCAGAACAGCTGAGCAAATACTGTTTTGTGAATGCACGTTCAAAACCAAGCAACAAAAAAAGCGCTACAAACTTCATCTCAGAGAACAGATAACTCTCCATCCACTGAGGCTTTTGACACTTCTAATTAATTGCTTTAAAGAGGATTTTGCAATAAAATCCACTACCTCCAGCTCTGGCCATTGAAGAGAATTCTCATGGAAGAATATTATTAGATTGTTGTCTAACTCTAGGAATTCTAATATAACAGAAACAAATATTATCAGAATGGCAAACCAGAATCTGGACAGTGTAGTAATATTATGGCTGATCAATTCCACATATTTTGGAAATGTCAGGTAATCCAATTTTAATTGGCTAATGATAATAACAGAAATAAATTAAATACTGGGCTTTGTGATTGAACAGTTTTGCCGGAAAGTATTTAGCTAATATACCAGCTGAATTGAAAGATTGTGAAAGGACCTTCTTAAAATATTACTGATAGCTAGCAAAACAGCTATTTGTCTTGTGAAGGAAGCTCCAACAACGGGAGAATGGACAAACATTGTAAATTACTTGCTTCATATGGAGAAGCTGACTTTTTCTTTAAGACTCTGATGTGATACATTTGACAAATACTGGTCAATATGGGTTCAACACATGAAGAGGGTTGGTACATAATCCAAGGAGAATGTTCTGGTACAATGAATGTGAAACTTCTTCCTGATGTGGGATTTTCTTGCTTAACCACTCTAGTTTACACATATGCTATACATCTTCTGAGAATGAATACTGGACTGAGATGGACATGGATTTGTTGTGAACACGTTTTGAGGGACGGTGCCCCATGGCACAAGACTAATGGCTGAGGACATATTGATGTGCTGTATAGCCTCTGGTGACCTGCATGTAGTTTGTTAAGTTTTATTTGTAATGTGTTAATAATTTAAAAACAGAGTATAACAAAAATAAATAAATGGGATGAGTATGTGAACACAACACAATAAGTAATTACAGTGTATTCAACAGCTATCACTCTGAGTGAAAGCGGGGAAACAAACATGTCCTGTGGCTGAGAAGTGTATGCTGCTGACAGGCGGAAGCAGAAACAAGCTGCCCAGCTTCTCTGAACAATGCTGTGATACAGTACATTCACATAGGCCACACACACAAAGCACTGCTCACACAACAGTGCAGACATGTTGCCATTTCTGCGGGTCTTACCATGAAATCCGGTCTTCTCCTAGCCTATCAAAACACAAACTGATGAGAAATACAGTCGACACAGTGTGTGTGTGTGTGTGTGTGTGTGTGTGTGTGTGTGTGTGTGTGTGTGTGTGTGTGTGTGTGTGTGTGTGTGTGTGTGTGTGTGTGTGTGTGTGTGTGTGTGTGTGTGTGTGTGTGTGTGTGTGTGTGCGCAACACGTTCTCACTCCCATCCCGTCACATATTGACGGACGGTCAGGGCCCGTCACTCTATTACGTACAGGGTACCCCTTGGAAGTCAGGCTTCTACGGGCAGGGCGTCCCATAGACCTTCATTGCGGACAGCGGACCCCTTGACCGTCAGGCTTCTACGGGCAGGGCGTCCCATAGACCTTCATTGCGGACAGCGGACCCCTTGACCGTCAGGCTTCTACGGGCAGGGCGTCCCATAGACCTTCATAGACCACGTGATCAACAACAATGGCCGACCTTCGTGTTATTCTCGGTGGAAAATGCCTATTTTAAGGTTCATTTGGCCATTAAAATGCGTTTTGATGTCATTTTCTGCGATTAATATGAGTTGTTATTTCTGATTATTTGTGCAGTAGATGTACATGATGTTTAGTTTGCTAGTTATGACGAAGATTACTTCATGAATGTGTATACATTCATGGTTGCTATGGACGCTGCAACAGCTCCCAGACCACGTGATCAACAACAATGGCCGACCTTCGTGTTATTCTCGGTGGAAAAGGCCTATTTTAAGGTTCATTTGGCCATTAAATGTTTAAATAAAGGTTCATTCGTTTTTCTGTTTTGCACCTCCTCATATTAATATCTTTGTACATCCTGCACTAAACTGTTTTATTGTAGAGATCACTTATAGTATCTTCTTGATTTTTTATATTCTATATTTCTATCACAGACCTTCTACTTTCCCCCTATGAAAGTATGTACTCTTAATATTTTTTTAATCAAATATAACACATAAAAACAATAATTCAATAATGTGCTTTAACCACTAGGCGGTGCACACAAGGTACACACAGCCATAATAACTTTGTATTATTAGTGTAGGACACTTATGTATACAACATCTGAAGATGTGTAGTTTTATTCATGCTTTCACATAATTTTACAGCATATTGCTATGCTATTTCAGACTCAGTATTTACATTCTTACATTCAAAATTCAATTAAATTCAAATCAGTAATATCTTTAAAAACGACCTTTTATATCAGCTGTGCACCGTTATGGTGTAAATATAACCTATCTATGAATTAGATCAAATGTAAAAGTCAGCCGAATTAGTGTTGATACTGCAAGGAGACGTATTGTGTGAAGAGAAATTGAAGATGTTGTTTAATTGTTGATATATTTATGATCCACGTCAAGTATTCAGTTTCGGCGGCATTTCTTCAGTTTTTCCAAAGGTCTTCTCATCAGGGCTCTATAAATAAAGAACTACGGCAGATCTGTAATATGTAATGCAGCCAAACCGTGTATTACAATGCCATTATGTGATGACTTTCAAAGAGAAAAGCAAGAGCACTCGGAATTAAGTATTCTTTTAAAAATGTTTTCCGGATTTCATATCATATAAACACCAAATCCCAGCATGCATTGCGGCTAAAACATCCAATCAGAGAGCTTAAACCATAGCTGAGGATCTTGGGTAATCGCTCGAAATGCCTACGTCTGTTTCCGGTTATTTTCATTTTGAAATTCAGTTCCTGACGGACGCCAAAAAAGCCCGAGATTATGGAATTAAACCAATAAATAAAAGCAAGGATAATTGTGTGTTATTGGTGAGTAAATTGGTGGTTATTGGTGAGTAAATGTAAATGTGACCCCCATGCAACTGTCGACTTCATGACTGGAATTAACTCCACCTGCACACTTGACCCAATGCCCTCCAAATTTGTTAAAGAGAGCCTCCCTGCCATCTCCCAACTCATCGCCACCATCATTAACTCCCCCTTAAAACTCGATCAGTTCCCCCCTCTCTCAAACTGGCTGCTGTCACACCCATTCTCAAAAGACCTGGACTCACACCTGACATGTCCAACTTCCGGCCCATCTCAAATCTCCCCTTTCTGTCAAAAATACTTGAACGTGTCGTTGCCTCACAACTTAAAGCCCACCTCAGCTCCAATGATCTCTTTGAGCCATTTCAATCCGGTTTCTGATCAAAACACAGCACCGAAACAGCTCTTCTCAAAATCACAAACGACCTCCTCCTCTCCTCTGACTCCGGCAACCTTAACATCCTCATCCTCCTCGACCTCACCGCAGCATTCGACACCATCAACCACGCCATCCTGCTGTCCCTCCTCGAATCATCACTCAACATCACCGACACTGCACTCTCCTGGCTGAAATCCTACCTCACCGACAGACATCAGTTTATCAACATCAACAACTGCACCTCCTCCACTGCTCCTCTGTCCCAAGGTGTCCCCCAGGGTTCGGTGCTTGGCCCCCTCCTCTTCATCCTCTACATGCTCCCCCTTGGCAAAATAATTTGTCGCCACAACCTTCAATTTCACTGCTATGCCGATGACATCCAACTTTATATCTCAACAAAAACCATCACCCCCACAACACACTCCACTCTCACCAACTGTCTCTCAGAAATAAAAGCATGGATGCAAACAAACTATCTCCAACTGAACAGTGCCAAATCAGACATCATCATCATCGGCCCCCCATCCCATATCAAAGACATCCAAAATGTCAACTTCACCATTGACAGCCACACTCTATCTGCCCCCCACACATTCGCAACCTCGGAGTCATCTTCGACAGTCAGCTCAAATTCAACCACCACATAAATCACATCACCAGGACCGCCTTTTTCCACCTCAAAAACATTGCCCGTCTCCGCCCATCACTCTCCTCCTCTGCTGCTGAAACCCTGATTCATGCATTCATCACTTCACGACTCGACTACTGCAATAGCATCCTCTACGACATACCATCCAACCTAATTAATAAACTCCAACATATCCAGAACTCTGCTGCCCGCCTCCTCACCCACACCCGCTCCCGAGACCACATCACTCCCGTCCTCCAGAACCTCCACTGGCTCCCCGTCCGTCAAAGAATCAACTTCAAAGTCCTCCTCATTACTCACAAAGCCCTCAACAATCAGGCCCCCCCCTACCTCACAGACCACTGACCTCACCACCTTCAAAAAACTCACAAAAACTCACCTCTTCAATCTGGCTTTTAATGTGTGATTGTTTTTGTATTATTTGACTTTAACTATATATGTATTTGTTGTTCCTTCCTTTTCCCTTCACTATATCTGTAAAGCATCTTTGAGCACCTGTAAAAGCGCTAACAAATTAAATCTATTATTATTTATTATTAAATAACAGTGTGTTATTTTGAAAAGAATAACAAATTAGAAGGAAAAAAAGATTTAAAAAAATACAGATTTCAGTATCCTGAGGCTCTGAGCCCCATTTATTTTCCTCACAGACGGCAACACTAAAGGTCTAAAATAAAGACCTAAATGAATATTTGGGATGTTCTTGCCTTTAGATTCTCCCAATAAGTCCAAGTACAGAGGGTGACTTTGCTGTGAAAAATTACTTTAGGAATGTATACACATTCATGAAGTAATCTTCGTCATAACTAGCAAACTAAACATCATGTACATCTACTGCACAAATAATCAGAAATAACAACTCATATTAATCGCAGAAAATGACATCAAAACGCATTTTAATGGCCAAATGAACCTTAAAATAGGCATTTTCCACCGAGAATAACACGAAGGTCGGCCATTGTTGTTGATCACGTGGTCTATGAAGGTCTATGGGACGCCCTGTCCGTAGAAGCCTGACGGTCAAGGGGTCCGCTGTCCGCAATGAAGGTCTATGGGACGCCCTGCCCGTAGAAGCCTGACTTCCAAGGGGTACCCTGTACGTAATAGAGTGACGGGCCCTGACCGTCCGTCAATATGTGACGGGATGGGAGTGAGAATGTTTTAGTGTGTGTGTGTGTGTGTGTGTGTGTGTGTGTGTGTGTGTGTGTGTGTGTGTGTGTGTGTGTGTGTGTGAGAGAGAGCTACCTTGTTGTCCCTGTTTATATCTGACGGGACCAATCCTGAGATCTGACTGGAGATGGTGGCTGCGATCAGCTGTTTACACCACTCTACGTGAGAACCTGTTGGACTGAAGGAAGACAGAGTTTATAACATATTCACAAAAACTAAAAAAAAATCTAAATCCCTCCCTTTTGTGGTATAATGCTGTTCTGAAACATGCTGGGTGTGTTGAGTTGAGTTGGCTTAAATGAAACGGATAAAATTAAACAAACCCAATGTTAAACAGTGTGAAACAGTGTGTGTGTTAAATCAGAGGAAGTGAGAGCAACATAGTGGTGTTTATAACATGTACTGAAGCATTGAATTTACCATGTGAACAACCAAAAGATAGTTTCTGCCCCATGTAATTATTTAATTATTATATAATATAATTGATTGCATCCATATTGTGACAAGTTCTGGACAGTCCAAAGAGACTTGTAAGTAGTCTTGTTATAATGGGATATGTTAAATGACTGCCTATTATGTTAAGATTCAGGTTAGAGAGAAAAACAAATTCCAATTCTGACAAAATACAGTTTTGTTCTGATGAATTTAGCAGACTTCTTTGTTATGTTGGCTGTAAAATGATGCTAGTATATTTGTTTACACCCAGTATTTTGAATATGTTAATACAACAGCCAGCTGCAAGAACAGTTTCTAATTTTAATTTAGCATTATGAAGTTTCACCATCACAGGAAAAAGTTGTAAGTATTTTTTATTTTACTGTAACAAGAACATTGACATTTCATAACATTAAGACTTTTTTTTCATGTCATAATGAAACGTTTTTTCTACATATAAAAGGCAACCAGTGGTTTCACGTTGAGGCCCTGTTTTGCAAAAGTTACCATTCTTCTGATAATGTATGATGAAGAATGATGAAGTAAGCAAGTACAATTTAAAGAGAGGGAGGTGTCAATCAAACACATGTCATACACACCTCCACTCCAAGGGCCTAATTAGTCTGAGAAGCGAAAACACCTGTGTAGGTGGACCATGGGTGTGCAAGGGGGCATTTATACATCACATTGCATTTTATATTAAGCTAAAAAAGTGTATATTATAGTTGATAATTACTAAATATTACACAAATACAATTTCACAAAAAATGTAGTGATGTGTTTAGGAACAAATTAAAAAGAAGAGAAACCAGCAGGGATATTTGATTTTTCCTTAACACAGAAAACACCCCATGCCTACCGTTTTATTTATATATTAAACATTTTTATTTCTGATAAATATTAAGATAAATATATTATCTATTTATTTTTTCTTCGTTTTTTGTTTAGTTTATTTACTTATTCATTGTACGTTGGTTTGTTATTTTTGGGTAACTAAAAAAGACTGAATTGAATGCTATACAAATACTATGTGTGTTTTGTTTTGTTATAGTTAATAGTTTGGACCTTTACTGTCACTGCATCAATAAACATATTAGCAATCGCATCGCAGACAGTAACGTTTTGGCGGTAGCTACTAACTATACAGTAAGCTAGCCTGTTACTAAGCTAACGCTAGCCGTTAGCTGTCTGTTAACCCACTGTACACAATATCACTGTTTTCCAACATGTCAGGCTGTCGCATCCTGTTGTTGTTTATTAGTATGAACATATAGATTCACTCGCTATTAGCTACTCTATAATAGCTACTGTGACAGTAACCGTCACTTACAACTCCGGTCATAAATATAGTAAATGAATATGCAGTAGCCTTGGCTTATTGGGAAACAGTTGTAGAAGCGGTTTAACATCTGCACTGTATCCAACCCGAATTAAAGATACGACCCTGTGATAAAGGAAATATCGCGACATTTTACGGAGAATTACATATTTAAGGAAGAGCAAGAAAACAGTAAATGCACTACGTGTAAACTATTATATCAGGTCTGTTGCTCACCTCTCCGGGGTTTCACCGGTGTTTGGTCCTGAGCTCGGCAAGCCCCAGGGCTTTCTGTTCGGCCCTGCTGCTTCCGCCGCCCCGGCAGCTCCGGCCTGTTTCTCCATCTGTTTACTGTCCCGGAGGTCGCTAGGGGCGGAGGCGGATGGTTTCCCCTGATATGAGGAGGATGCGGATGAAATTAAACCTCGGTGTGATTCCAATGTCCGCCCTCCGCCGGTTAGTTCTGTCAGGGGACAGGCTCTGTGAGGTGATTGTGAATGCTTCCTGTTATTTGGTTATTTGTGCTTCCTGCCAGACTGCCTCTACCTCGCGCATCTCTTCCTCGCGCTGTAGCTCCGCCCACTTACAACAGAGATGCGAGGATGAGGAGGAAACATCAGCTGGGTCAGGCACAGGGGGGAACATATTCAGATTCTTTACTTGAGTAAAAGTACTAATACTCAAGGTTGGGAGGGTCACTTAAATAATGTAATCCGTTACAATAAATAGTTACATGTAAAACAAAAAAAATTAGTAACCTAGTCGGAGTATCAAAATATAAAAAGTAATGTAACCTGATTACTTTCCGTTACATTTAGATTTGTTATGTTATTGCAATCGAATACAGTTACCTTTTTTTTTTTTTTATTGTATCCTGATTACGTAATCTCATTAAATTTACTCCATTACCCCCCAAGCCTGCTAATACACTGTACAAATCAATTTTAAGTAAAAGCACTGCATCGAGAATCGTAGTTAAGTAAAAGTATTTAAGTATGATAAGGAAAACGTTCTTAAAGTATTAAGAGTGAAAGTACTATTTTTAAAGATGAAACGCAAAAGCAGCAAATAGTGACATTTAAGAAATTGGGAAATATTTTTGAAAACAAATCTTAATTCCAATACATTATCTGTTAACCCACTCAGGATTTTAGTTACGTAAATATAATGTTGAATGGTAATCTATATCAAAAAATCATATATTAAAAGGTTTTTCCCAAAATCTGAATTCATAAAGTAATGTAGTTGAGTGCAAGTATAAGGTATAGAATGAAAATACTTAAAAGAAGAAAAGTACCTCAAATGTGTACTTTAGTACAGTACTTGAGTAAATGTATTTAGTTACATTTCACCAAAGGTCATGCCATCGTTTATTCGACAAGCTTTAGGAAGTTATACATGTTCAGGTCGTTTGGTTATCCTGTCTGAGCACGCTTCATATAATAGCTTATAATAGTTTGTGCAGCTATAGTAGCCCACACTTTGATCACTTCCTTTAAGAACATGTCATGTGAAAACATAAAACTACATATAACCTATAAAGAGGAATAAGGTAGTACCTAGTGGTCTATACCATCATTACATTTAAGGAAATGTTAAAAGGGGCCATAAATACATTACTACCAACCACTAAATGAATTTGCTGCCATTAGCCCCCATTCTTCAGATTTCAGGTTTTCCACCAGAGGCCTGTTCTACGAAGCCGGTTCAACCTAACCTGGATATGTTTGAGTTACGCGGTTTACCTAATCCAAAACAAACGCACTCTCGCTAAACTGTTCTACGACGCTGGTTATCAACTCGTTAACTCAAGCCAGCTTTGCCCTATCCAGTTAGGTCTGCGTTCACATGAAAGTGGTGGTATTTGGAGCATTCGACCAATCACAAACATGGAAGCGTACTGATAGCGCAGCGCGTCATACTTCCTGAATGAAAAGTCAACTATAACTAGAAAATGCATTTCCTGCAGAAAATGATCTCGCTAAGCGAAAATCCGGCTTCGTAGTACAGGCCTCTGATGTTGCTGAATTATCTCCCATTTAGATACAATAAATATAACTGGCTTTTCCTTCCTGAAATGTAGACATTTAAAACACAAGAAAAGGTGCAACACTTAAACTTAAATTACAACTTTGAGAGGATTTGGAAATAAAGCAAGCAATCAAATTCACTTTCCTGTGAAAATATACACAAATAAAAAGAGAAGAAAGTGGATGATCCATATCCATGTTGCATGCTGGGAGGGTTCCCAACACACCTACCTAATGTACTAAAAGCATCACATAATTAGCACTCTGCCATATTGATGCTGATCAGGGTTTTAATTCTATTAATTTCCAAAGTAAGAGGTGCATACAGTTTTCAGAATCTTCAGTCAAAATGGATTGATGCAGTAAGCAAGGACCACCTTGAAAAGCAAGACACATGCATTTCCAAACATTTGGACAACCTATGTTGCAAATGTATTATCTTTTCGATTTACACACGGCATCTATTGCACGTCTGTCCGTCCTGGGAGAGGGATCCCTCCTCTGTTGCTCTCCCTGAGGTTTCTCCCATGTTCCCTTTAAGCTGTGGGTTTTCTCCAGAAGTTTTTCCTTGTACGATGTGAGGGTCTAAGGACAGAGGGTCTAAGGACAGAGGATCTAAGGACAGAGGGTGTCGTATTGTCATACTGATATTCTGAACAAACTGTGAAGACCACTGAGACAAATGTAACATTTGTGATATTGGGCTATATAAATAAACATTGATTGATTGAAATCAAATATCTGAAATTGATCATTAAATAACATATGCAAAGAGCCAGAGTCAGAAATGCTTAAATTAATTTAATCAGTAATATTTACACAACAGGATCCATCCAACAAACTGGAGAGGATATAACATGATTCAAAGAAATACATTTGAAATGTATTCTGATTTCACTTTCCCTTGTAGATGACAAATGATCCTGAAACACATTTCATGTGTATTTATTAAAAAGCAGGCTATATTAATACACAAAACCCTTTCAACTACAATCCCCTACATTAATAAAAGAGTACATTTGAAATGAACGTTGACAGAGTTCTCAGATTCATTGTGTGAACCGAAGGTTAAAGATCCCCCAGAGAACTGAGAGGAGGATGTCAGGTTATGACGAGTGGACAGTATCCACAAGCTTCAGTTTTTAATCCTGGGTTGCGAATACAAACCAAATAAATGCCCTCAAAAATAAAACATACCAACTTAACCAATGGAGCAGAAATCCACAATTTATACCAACAATTTCTGAACCAACATTACTTTCCTTTTTTATAAAACTGTAAGATTTTACACTACATAAAATAATTGTATTTTACAACAATAGAACTTTAGACAGTAAAATAGGTTTTGATTGAGGTAATTACATCATGGTGCTTGTACAAAGTAAAAAATAATAAAAATAGATTTTATCTGTTTTTCCCTAAAAACACAACCACCGAACCAATGCACACTTTTTATGTTGCTGTGACTTCTTCTGTTTTTTGACCTATTACCCTCAATGAGATCCTGAATTTCATACAGGACATCAACCCCTTGTCAAAAGTATCCATTTGGTAAACCCTATGTTATTTCACCTCCCTGTGAACATAGGGATCAGGTTGCACTCTGTAACCCACCCAGACATAGAAAAGAGTCATGTTTGAGATTTGAATACTAGCTGGTAGCCAAAGTCCTATTCTTTCGTGAAACTACGAGATCCAGTGGCCAATATCTGGAAGGTATGGATTCTTAAAAATAATGCGGCTTGAGAAATCTGACCCATTTGGCAACGTAGTTACGCAACGACAGATGTTATTGACGTTGATCTGCCATGGTGCTATAAGTGTTGCTGACAAATAATTGCAGGATGCCATTGAAGCATCAAAGCAACTTTCCTAAGCATATAGAACATTTTAACCAGCTCTCATATTGGCCAACAATTAAATTCTTCTACTTTTTCTTCTGTCATCAGTTCGGAACCTTCGGAGGAAAAAGGACTAATTGACTTCAGCTCTAGTTCAACCAAAGTGTTGTCCAACCTTGTTAGAAAATCAAGAGTTTTTAGCTGTTCTGAACATCAATACTGAAAGATGGAACAGAAAGCCAGAGGGGACTTAAATTGTTCAAAAATGCATCTAAGATCAGTGCATGATTCTTGGACCTAGTGCATCTCTGTACCAATAGAAGTCGCTGCTGTTATTTATATATGGCCGTTGGCTATACGTTTTTTTTACCATAATTTTGAGTTTAATTTTGCTACCGTGCAATCTGTTAAGGAGTCACATAGGACTTAAAGGGGATCCGGGAGTTCCTTAAACTCAGCGTTAGGTACCTTGGCAAACGGCCCTGTCCTAAACTCTGTACTTACTCGCGGAATGCCGGCAGTAAACGCCCATTTCCTCCCGCTTCAAACTGGCACAGACCCATAAACAACAGCATGGCATCCCAAGAGCAAAGGATGCAGAGCTTTCCTCCTTTAGAACCCTGAGCTACAGAGCAGTCAATCTCAAACATGACCCAGGACAGCTGAAGTAGGTTCTCTCAGACGAGGCGATTCACATAAGAATCAAGGCACAAATCTGGACATGACATGACACACTTCCCAAAATGACTTATTGCACCTCATTCACAATTGTCACACAATGCATCATCTCAATTATTTGTTGCTTCCGACGTCCTAACAACCAAGGGGTAAATATATTGGGGTGTGAGCCTTCGTAACTCAAATTGATCTCTCAACAGGAAGGCGTTTTATTTCAAGGAGTCCAATGTGACCATAGAGAAAATATAATGGGGGTAAAAAGCTCCATTCTTCTTCATCCCACAAAGTGGAGGATACAAAAAGTCCAAAAAAAGCGATTTGGTAAGCAACATAATCCCCAGCGTTCGACCCCTAGCATTATATTCATTTGGGAAAGAGGTTTTAATGAAATGATACAAGTATGGTGTCAGGTGGACATGATCGACAGTGGTGGTCCAAGTAGATTTCCAGGTTTGTCTACCCTGCATTACTTTGAACAAATATTAAAGTCGAATTCACAACAAATCAGTGCGGTGAAAATAAAAAGGTTCTCCCATTCATTTCAATCTTGGTAGTTGGTTTTGGTGGAAGGCCATAGGGGATTCCGTAAAACTGGAATCACCTTTTGGAAAACCCAATGACAGACTTCGGTGGCCGATCGCATAACCGGTGATCAACGCGCCATTGGTTACAGATGGGCCTTCAGCCAATGAATGTCACTCAAATCGACAAAGTGCCAATCCTACACCGCGATAGGACTGCGCCAATCACCGTCATGCCTGATTTGGTATAAATGCAGCTCCTTTTACTTGGTTTTATTCTCATTTTATGTAACCGACACCACAGCTGGCATCAGCGAAAGAACACATCCGCTTTGGACAAGTTTTCTTTTTTTTCCCTCTCGAAGGGATCGCAATGTGCTGGCCATAGAAATTATCACACTTAAATCCTCTATTGACAGTACTCCAGAAATCAAGCCTGTGGTATTTATTAGGGGCCAATGTTGGGAGACTGAGTTCTACTTAACATTGTAAAAAACAGTCTAGTCATCATGACGGACTGATTGATACATACATTATTTTTAACAAACCAAAATGGGAGCCCTTAGAGTTAGCAGCAAAATCCTCATATCAAACAATTCCCACACACACACACACACACACACCACACACACACACACACACACACACACACACACACACACACACACACACACACACACACACACACACACACACACACACACACACACACACACACACACACACACACACACACACACACACACACACACACACACACACACACACACACACACACACACACACACACACACACACACACACACACACCACACACACACACACACACACACACACACAGGTTGGTTCTCATGTGTTCTAATGGGGAATTTAATGGAAGCCCATTCCAATCAGGAACTAAAATAGTATAAATAAATGGAAATACTCTAGGTAAGTCCATAATGATCTATCAGGTCAGAATAAGTCATTAGTCAATAATTTCAGTATATATCTTTTTTTTGCAAAAAATATCAAAAATATGAGATATCACTAACCTTATTTTTAAAGAATACTTTGATTAAAAAAATAAATCTCTAAACTTTGACTGATTTAATTTAAACCTAAAACCCTATTATTTAAATATTTCATCAATATCTATATTATCATTCCTATCGATCGATTAATGTATTTTTTTAATTTTTTGACTACCATTAAATTCTCCATGTGAAAGACATTTTTATCTCTTACTATTACATTTGTATGTTACTTTCCATTTAAAATCAAGGATAATTTCCCCAATTTTTATTTTGTTTTAGCTTTCGCCATCTTTGTTAGGTTTTGATAACCCGTTTTGCACAAATTTCCAACTAATATCTTCAGATAAACAGTATTTGCTTTGCTACTCAAAGCTGGATTCCAATTGGACAAAAACATGAGCAGAGAGACAACCAAGCAAGCAGTTGTAAACAAGTCCATCCAATGACAGTTACCTAAATTAATCAGATAACTGGCAAATGGAGAATAAACCCTTAATTCTGACTTAAACTTCCCTTTCTAATGTAAAAACTGACCCACATGAAACAAGGAGGGGATATATCAACACCTGTCCAAAAGGCACACGTTCTATGAGATTAAGTTTCATATGAGACTTTTGTTGTGGATAGAATATCTAGAATCACTCAGGTTTACAAAAAAAAAGAAAAGTAAAGGGGGGGAGTGAGAGTAACTGGTTAATTTCTGCCCCCTGTCCCTATAACTGGGGCTGGTTTCAAACATCTTGGCATGGTAAGGCTATCATGGACCATGGCTGACTTTCATTCAGGATCTGAGAACAGAAGCACAAGAGGGGATCCAGGATCAGGGGCCAGCACCACTTCATGTCCCTAGAGGGGATCCAGGATCAGGGGCCAGCACCACTTCATGTCCCAAGATCATCTTGAGCATATGAAAATATTTCCAAAGTTGCATTTATTAAAGCATATTACTGATTGATTCTAGCCAAACTCTTTAGTTGACTAGAAGTAATTTTGCTCTCTAGCTTAGGAAGTGCTGAACAATACTGCTTAGGCGAGCTTAGCTGTTAGCAGTGGCTAACCAAACGTGACAATGCTAGCTTTCATCGTCAGTCGATAAGCAACTAATTCCACATCAACCACCCAAATCTGAAATGCTTGATATATACAGCCGTTCTTAACACTTCCTCAAAGCAAAGGGAGTGGTGCAGTGCAGCAGGAAGTAGTGTGAGAAACTTGATTAGCATTTCGCTTTGTTCACACAGGACACTAACGCTTGTGTAGCGGGACGTAGGCGGGACAAAAGTGTAACCTCGCTTTGTGCGCACTGTGAAATGTGTTTCCAAGAAATGTATTGTCTCCCTTTTTCATAACTTTTTTTCTGTTTACCTCATATTATTTAAACAATCTATTCTTACGCTTGACAAAAATAATCTGAGGTGCATCTCAGGGATTTTCATCGGGGAGTGGAGTTGGCAGTTCAAGATCTTGTGAAAAAGTTAAATTGATAATCACACTTTGAGTTAAAATGTAAAAAACAACACTAATTTGACTTGAGCTGTGCATGAGAGACTCCACGGTTAGCCTAGCATAACAAATGAAAGCTAAAGGGATCTATCTATAGAAGAGAATAAATGAACGCCTATACACATCCACTATGTGCCCTGTGTGTAAAAAGCCCTTGGACTGAAAGCCACTGAATGTCTTTAAGGCTTCCCTGTGTGGTGAGTGTGTGTGTGTGTGTGTGTGTGTGTGTGTGTGTACAAAACATCTTGTGACAAGGCTGTACTGTGACATATTGCATAAATCACCCTCACATGTTAGAATAACCCATAAAATCTAAACTCTTGTAAGCATTCTTTGTTTTACGTATTAGTTCCCTGTATGTGAGACTGACAGGAATCAGAGGACATAAGTGCAAGTCAATAAGTAGATCTGAGTGTGTGTGTGTGTGTGTGTGTGTGTGTGTGTGTGTGTGTGTGTGTGTCTCCAGCCCTCAGAGGGGAGTTTGTAGTTGTGTGTATTGCTGTGGTGGTGTGGAGGAGGTGGAGGAGGAGGAGTTGGGGGTGTTAGCCAGACGGGAGGAAGGGGAGGAGTCGGACAGCTGCAGCTCCTCCAGCTTCTTCAAGTACTCGTCTCTGAGCGCCAGCAGCTCCTTGTAGCGCTGCTCCACCGGGCTCTGCTGCTGCAACACACATACACACACACAACACACACTTTACTAAGGCGTCACAGAAAGATGCTTTAAAAAAAGAAAATGCATTGAAGCCATGTTGAGGTTTGCGATTAAAGCTTCACATATGGGTCATCATTTATAACATAATCACACTAAAAATAGTTTTAAAACCAACAAAACCCCTGATTTGAATGAAGTTCACCATCAGAATACATGAGGAATTCATCAATTTGATTTAATAAATAACCTGTCAGTTTGTGTCTCCCTTGCAAAATAGTACATACTTCATGAAAATGCGCTTTTTTAAAAGCTGAACACCAACAAATATTGAGTTATAGTTGAATATTTTGGTGATATAAATATGTTGTGAATTATGTAAAAGATTGCATCCATCTTTGGAAATAGATTTTTGACTTTTGGACTTATGCTACAGATAATAAATACATCCTGACATAAGCTGCTCATAACCAATTGACCCTTACGGGATTAATAAAGTTGTTGATTGATTGATACTTATGATCAGGGGTGCACACAACCTTTTTGCCCTGGTTCTCAAAGGAGCACCTGGAGATGTTGCTTGGTGCGCATCCTTAAAAATGAAATAAACCGGACCTTTTGAGGGGTACTTGACTTTATAAACGGGGGGGGGGGGGGGGGGGGGAAGTTGCGCTAGTGAGCACGCTCATGGACTGTTCACCGGAGCCTCGCAGCAGGGTTACTGTGCGGAGTGCATAAAGCAGACCCTTCACACGATAGCGAGGGGGTAGAGCGAGGGATCGACAGATGCCGTCGTGCTCGCGGACGGATTAAAAAAATCAAACCTAAACGGCTTACGAATTATACTTTGGCGGCCGTTAATATACCTGGGTGGCCCGCCCAGGTAAAGTCTATGTGTGGGAAACCCTGCTATCTTACCAGTTCATATGCAACTCGCAAATATCTCTCTCTCTCTCAATGTTGGTGCGCAAATGCGCCTTTTGGCAGGGAAACAGGGTTCAGGGGGAGTGGCTGTACCCGTAGGATAGAAAAGGGGGAAGTGACGTCTGACTCAGAGATCGTGCGGCTGTGGAGAAGAACGTGTTGCCCACATTCTGTTACTGAGTTTAGGCTAGTTAGCTAGCAGGTTTATTGTTTTGGGTGCAGTCACTTTTGCCTCCACTTGCTGTTCAAATAAATGTTGAAAAGTAAATCTGTTTACAGTTCTGTTTCATATGGGTGTTGAGAGATGTATCCATAGATTTAGTCACTAATTTTGCTCTCAAAGTGCACCAGATTAATGCATTTAACTTCAACATTTAAAAAAAAAATCTTCCTGGGGGAGCATGCCCCCTGCCCTGACCCCCCCAGGTCCACCACCTGCCCCACACCCCCTGTTAATTGGTCTCACCCACATTGAGGATGCTTCCTACGCCCATGTTTTATTCCATGTGTCAAGTCAGGCATATTGGGTCCAAATATTATTGCATCAATGATCTGTTAACATTAAAATCACTAAATATATGCTTTAACTATTTTACTCCAGGCAACTCAAGGGCTCAGGTAATGTGATTACTATATGAATAATGGTCCAAAATAACATAAAATGCATAGGGTTTTTTGTTAAGTAACATACTTTCGTCGCTGGCCGGCCGATACATGCCGCGCATTAATGGCACATTTCCACTGCAGCGGGGTAGCCCCGTTTAAGCGTCTCTAAGCGTCCTCGCTCAGGCCTCGGGCTGCCTCGCTGGCCGTCCCAGGCCGTGGTGCATTTCCATTACAGTTTAGGACCTGGGGTAGCAACGCAGTGTAGGCGGGGCATCTGTGCAGAGACATCCTGGAACACTTTCACATTTCAAAGTTGTTCCGTCGAGCTCCCGCTGGATTTGATCATCCCCAATGAGATGTAGGAACGTCGTCACCTCCTCGGTCGACCACGGTGTGCTTTTCTTTGACGTTGCCATTTTTGTAGCTCCTCCGTTTACAAAAATGCTGTGTATAAAAATGCTGCAAGCTTGCTTCTAGATATATATGCGACGCTAGGGATGATCTCGCGCACGATCTTGTGACGATTCTCTCTGACCAATCAGCAGTCGAGAGTGTTGACGTCACTAGTTCAGCCCTGGCCCTGGCCTGATAGAACCACGATTTTATGGGGCCGGAAAAAGTACCCGCTAGCCGGTGCTACGCTATATGGAAAGGCCACCAAAAACTGGCCTGGCCGCTTGAGGACGATTAAGGACGCTCATACGGGGCTACCCGCTGCAGTGGAAATGCGCCATAAGTGGGCCTGTCAGTCAATTAATCCCCCCCAGTCCGTCCCTGGGTATATAGCAGGGGTGGGCAAACTTCTTGGCTCAGGGGCCACTGTGAGTTTTAAAATTTGCCAGACGGGCCGGGCCAGTAGCAGATCGGTGAAAAAATATTTAGCTGTCCACTCCTCATTATACACTCGGCACTCAATGTTGACTTTTCTTTTCTTTGGTCCACTCATTGTTACAGATGCAGGTTCAGAGGTGAATTATTGCGTCATTACGTCATCGTTTACATCATGACGTAACCGTTTACGTGCCTTCTTATGACCCACACAACGTTTTACGTCGCTGATTTTCTCCGCAACACCGCTCTCAACAACATCAATAGAGACCACCAGACCGCGTCTGGTAGTTTTTAATTATACGAAGCCAGATTAAATTAAAGAACTACTTCTCCAACCTTATACCTTTCTCCAGAGTGCCGTGGTGCATTGTTTATTAATGTGGTTCAGCTGCATTACTGCCCGCTGCAGTGCTGCTCGTCTACCGGAGTTACTCTCCCGTTAACTCGCGGCAGCGGCCGCTGTAAAGTTTTCATTGTCTGACTGTCACAAGCAGCTGATAAATATCCCCCATAAGTGAATGTGTTTTAGTTTGAAAGCTGTTTGGCATCACAACGCTGTTATGAAAGTTTCTCTGGCATTCTACAGTGCTAATCAGACTACTATCTTGACTACTTGTTACTATCATATTGTGGCATAAGCCGTTTTTTACACGCATATTTTACCGGCGTATTTTTCATTATGATTTTACTTGTGATGGCCACATGTAGCCCATGTATTGATTCCATCCGATAGCTGCAATAATACAAAACAACAGGAAAACGTCTGCCTTTTCACAATGGTCAATAACAGTGAACGGATGGTTATTAAAGTAAGGTCAAATAAACAGAATCACACTAAGCCTGGTTAGTGTTGCCTTACTTTATATAAGTGTTTTTTATAAGTGTGTGGTTGCGTTCTAGTCACTTTGCTCAGCGCTACTGCTTGTTACAACTTGTATTCGCCGTACTCGCCATGAACTGTTATTGCTCAGTTTAATCTCGCCCCCTCCAATGTAAGCGTGAAATATTTGGTTCTCTGATCTTGCCGGGTTGCGGAGTGGGGCCAGAGAATAGACCAGACTCCAGCAAAGGTCAATTGTGTCTAGAGTGCGCCATCTAGTGGGATCAACTGAAATGCCGGGTATTGCAGGAAAAAGGCAAAATGAATGCGGTTACTATAATTTGGACAATTTTGTACCAATATTCGGCGGGGCCGGATTCAAAAGCCCAACGGGCCGTATATGGCCCGTGGGCCTTAGTTTGCCCATGCCTGGTATATAGGGATTACAACGCAATGGACAGTTACGAAAAAAGGGTTGTTAAATGTCAACAACAAAACATGAAATGCCATTTTAGCACAGCCTGGTTGTCTATAAATATCCTTGGGAAAACCTATACTAAATAAAATAAATATATTTGTTCAAGTCTCAATAAAAATAGAAATGTCCCATACCATTGGAACTTTTTTCTCCAATCATTTAAACCAGGGGTTCTCAAAGTGCGGCCTGCGGGCCAATGGCGGCCCTCGGAAATGTTTCTGGCGGCCCGCGATAGTTAATGTGACACGCTGAAATGCATGCGTTATATTTTAATCCTCCATGGTTGTATCTAGTAAGAATTAGAATGAGTAGCTTTCCAGCGGTATCTCCTGTGAGACTGTAACCAGGGCACAGCAGCCAATATGGCCGCTCAAAGCAGCTTGACTTTACACTGTGTGGGATTGGTGGATTTGTGTGTCCGTCAAGGAAATCTCGGCCGGCAGCCATCATGATCTGAAATGACCAATGGACATCGAGAAATCACTAAGGACCTACCCACCAAGTAAACAAAACATAAACCACGTGTCTCCCATCAGTTTACGTCTGTGAGGGGAGAGAGAGAGAGACAGAGAAAATGTCTAAAACCGACTTCGCTAGAGAATTTTTTCGCTAGCAGCAGTGAAGATAGAGCCTCAGAACCTGAAGTCTTCCACTCTTCTGAAGAAGAAGAAGAATACAAAGACAACAACAAGGATCCATTTGGACATGGGTAGGTGTAAATATTACAGTAATAGTGTACTGGCAATGTGTGGGGAATACCGCAAAAATGAACAATAGGTTTATTGATATATATTTTTTATCGATAGTCATGAACTTTTTATTGGGACAAAATAGACTCCATTAGCAAACGTTTACTCTGTGTTAACGTTATTTTGGTGTGTAAAAGTGAGATTACATGTGTAGATGATTAAATTAATAATTTATTCGTCCCACAACGGAGACATTTACAGTGACATGTTTTTGCCATCGATTATTTTATCATACTGTTCTGTACAGATGAGACTTTGTCATAGATTTATTTATATGTGTGCCTGTTATTATTTTACCGTCCTGTACAGATGAGACTTTGTAATCAGATGTAGCCTATGTATGCGTGTCTGTGATTTTATACTGAATGTAAAGTAACTGGAAATACCTGTGTGTGTGTGTGTGTGTGTGTGTGTGTGTGTGTGTGTGTGTGTGTGTGTGTGTGTGTGTGTGTGTGTGTGTGTGTGTGTGTGTGTGTGTGTGTGTGTGTGTGAGAGAGAGATCGAGAGAGACTCCTTCTGTAACCTCCCAAACTTTATTTTTATGTGTGCATTGTTATTTGTGCTTGAGCAACATTTTACTTGAACTTTATTTAAATGCAATTAGTTGTAATTATTGTCCTACACAGGCGGCGTTTATCCAGTAGCCACAACATCCATCTGTGCCGGCCCCCAGGTCAAGATCTACTGTGGCTCAAGGGCCTTCACCAGAGCCATCACCACCAAGGACCAGCAAACCATCATCACTACAGCTGCCTCCATCTGCGGCTGCCACCAGGTCAAGATACACCTCAGCACAAAGGCTCCACCACAGCCATCACCTACAACCCAGCCAGCAAGGAGGTCTCGTGGAGTTCTCGTATAGCACTTGTACACCCCACCTACACAGCAGCCCATGCACCATCACCCCCATCTTCACAGCAGCCAGACCCACTGTCTTGGAAGACAGACAAAGACCTTGACACTGTCTTGACATTTATAATGAATAGTTGGTTGAAAGTTCTGATGTTCAATATTGTAAATAGTGAGATTTTCCTGTTTCCTATATTTATATAAATAGTTGGTTGAAAAAAACATATTTATAATAAATTGTTGGTTGAAAAAAAAGGTTGAATGCTCAATTTGTATTTGTACACATCACATGAACCTTGGTATGTAATATGAAGTCATTATTCAGTCCTGATGTATCTCAGTCCCTGCTGTGGTGAAAGTAGAGTGATAAACACCTATTTCACTCAAAATTTGAATTTAATGTTTTTCATTTTAGACATGAATAACACATTTATATACAGTGTAATTCAAATATTTCACTGCTTTTGTGATCCTAGGACTTTGGTAACCAAATCTAAAACACCAAAACAATTCGATCACATGAGTAAATTTGTGTTTTGAAGATTTTCCAAAAATCAGATTTCACATTTTAAGCTTTTGAGCTACTTATCTCATCAAACAGTGCTCTAAGGTGAGCAATATGCATATATAGCAAGACCAGAGATTTTGATATTTAACACATGGGGTGCCATGTTAGAAGAAATACATTTAAAAGGTGATTTAAGAAAACATCTAAAAATCGAGAAAATACCCTTAGACTCCAGAGGGTTAAGAATGGTAAAAATGCGCCCCCTGGGTTGTCATTCCTAAATTATGAATGACAGCTTGTGGAAAGTTTGCATGGCAACTAGGCATCTCGCGAGTTGCGGTAATTGGTTAGTACAATAAAGAAAGGATTTGTTTTGGAATTATTTTGTGTTCCGTTTTTTCTTGGGCGGCCCTCAATCCAATATTGGGTACCTAAATTGGCCCTCACTCATCAAAACTTTGAGAACCCCTGATTTAAACTATTCTTTTCATACAGTGGCTATAAAAATGGTGATGCCTTCTCAATTGTCTATTCCTTTTAGTTATGGAATAATGACACAACATTACAAAGTTGTCTAGTAGTCACCTACTGCATGCCCTTGTTCTGATCAATTAGTTTCACAAAGAAGAGATAATTACTGCCATAGATACAGTATCAAACAAACCCCTTTAAAACTGATACAAATCAAAATTGGTCTGGGGCCTAGTGCAGATCATAGTAAAATATAACACACAGAGGCCCTCCTACCTGTTGTCGGATGCGGGGGTTCCAGCGGATGTAGTACGTTACCCACAGCTCTAGGTGGCGCATGCTGGCGACGGGGTAGAGGACCCTGCCGGACTCGGGGGTGTAGAAGGGGTTTAAATACATCTCTGACATCTCCGTCTTACTGTTGACCAGAGACCACAGAGACACCGTCTTCAGCCTCACCTCCTGGACAGAGAGAAGAGAAAGAGAGACATTTAGAAATAATCCTCTGCAAGTTAAAGTCAGCTTTAGGGAGGGGCGGGAGTGTTAAAGTCTTACGTGCTGGTCTCGTGCACTCTCACAGTTGTAGAGGAAAGTCCCGAAGCAGCAGCTGTAGAGATTATCCAGGATGGTCAGCAGGAGGCGCTCATTGAACTCAAAGGCTGTAGGAAACTGAGAGGAGAGAAAATTCAGCCTCCTCATCTCAGCAGATTGTAGGATTGGTCTTTAAGATAAATTCCTTGTTTTTGTTATACTGTGAATAGCACCGCCATGAAGTGATAAAATGCGCCTACTCAGGGTCCTTTTTTTTGTTGCGGTGCAATTAACAGCACACGCAGAGCAGCAACCTGTGTTCTCCTGCAGCGAGCACCATGTTCAGGTGAGAGGAAGGCGTGAAAATGTGGGAGGATTGTTCAGACGAGGCAGAACAAATATATTTTGGTTGATAATGAGGCTCACACGTCAGGATTAAAAATGCTAAGATTCAGACAAACTATGTTAATCAAACCTCAGATCCAGTAGATTTGTTTGAATCAGTTCAAGCAGGAACATCTGCTAATCCTTAATATAAATAAAAATGAATTAATAGATATATTAATTAAAAAAGCTATGTAATAAAGAAAATCAATAATAATAACATGTATTTAGAGGCACCTTTTAAAGCACCCCAGTACACCTTAAAATGTGTAAAACATGCTAAAAAAGGTTAGAAACAGCGACAAAGGACAGTAACAGGGAACATGTAGGGAAATGTAGCTCACTACAGTCTACTGACTCTCCCAGTACGAGTTGTCCACAGCTGCTTGATTTGAAATTAAAAACCTCTCCTTCAGCTCATTAAATCCCAGCATGTTTCCAAAGGCAGCAGGACACACATAAAACTACAAATGTGCAGTCTCTCTGCTGTGTTTATTAACCACCACAACCTCCAATATATATATTTATAATCCGCCTTTTTGCACTTTGAGCTGCTGCACTTACATAAACCAAAATAGCAAAATAAGACTCCCACGAGTTCTGCTCACCAGACATTCTACTCTGCTTCCATGATTTAAAGAGTGCAGCGGTGTCTTTTCAGGAGGCTGTTTGTGGCAATTTCATCTAATTAAACCCCAACTGCCGGCTCTAGCTATAAATATGGAAAAGCCTCTCATCTTGGTTTAAATTAGACTATTATAGCACCCATGTGACGGATGATAGAAATGCCTTTAAGGGTACATTCCCACACGATAATATGCAGCGTGATGATTCAGATACATACCTGTTTAGTCATCTGCCACACGCAGTCGATGAACTGCACGAAGATCGGGGATCGGTCCTGATCCGCGTGGTTCTTGTCGCCGTGACCTATTCTCTACACACATACACACGCTTAACTAACACGTTTTTTAGATATAGGGACAACATTCAAGATTGAGGCTCAAATACTTTATAGTGAAATGTATACTGTAACAGCTGAACTGTAGTTTTGGCAATACAAATCTTAAGTCTCTTACAGTGCAACATACCGAGAAATAAAGCTAGTGCAAGAAGAAATAGAAATAAAATAGTGCAAGAGAAGGGTGCAGGGGACCCTAAAGTTCAAATAAATTCAGATAAATAAAAAATGAAATCTAGAAATGTAAAACTAAATACTGTACAGTGGAATAAAACAATGCGTATAGAATTGTGCAGTGATGATCAATGTTTTGTAGGCTGACCCAGAATGTAGCATCACCAGGGGGTCCCTCTACAAAAGCAATGGGTTTTCCCCTTTGTATTTTGCAGAAAATAAGATCTGTGGCACTCACACATTCAACCTTTTAGCAGGATAATTTCCACATATTAACACCACTTTGTGACTCTTAAGCCTAAATACAATTGCCCGAATTTAAAAGCTAATGCTAAGCTAGTAGTTCACGGTTGCATGGCTGAACATAAATACCAATGACGTATTTTATATCGGAAAACAAAACATGAACAACTCTGCAACTTGTGTTAACCACAGACCTTATTTCAGGCTTCTAACCACAAAAACCTCTGACTTGGAGACGAAGCAACCGGAAGTGGTCAAATGGTTAGTTATTTCTGGGTTTCAGGACCATATAGTAGTAACATAAATGAATATGTAGACATCAGGGTTCATACACTTTTTCACCAATGATTTTCCATGACTTCTCCATGAACTTTACCTAATTGTCCATGACCAAAAAATTACTCTCTCAGTGGTACCACTGAAAATTGTTTATTTTAACATGAAACAGGAAAATAAGGTCTGCATATGAAACATGTTGTGCCTATCTAAAACAAATCAAATAGGCTTACTAGCTTCTACACGCTAAAGCAACTAAAATCTCTCACCAGCAAAATGCCTCGTCAGTTAAATGCCATTTTACGTTTCAGTACTATACGATACAGTATTTATTAGATGGATAAAATATAAATTATATTTGATGCAACTTTAGTTACATTTCCATGACTTTTCCAAAACTTTGGGAAAAATATTGTTTTCCATAACTTTTCCAGGGCCTGGAATTAGCTTTTTGAATTTCCATGATTTTTCCGGGTTTTTAATGGCCGTAAGAACCCTGAGACATTCAGCTTTGCTAAATGGCAGTTATTGATATTCAGGGTTCTTACACCTTTTCCAAAGTCAAATTCAAGCATTTTCAAGGTGCATTTTCAAGCATCTTACAGCTGTTGTAAATTACATATTTATATACACATACTTATACGCAAATGATTATTTCCCTACCTCACATTAAATCAGATGTTCTTTATGCTATAAACAACCAACTGTGTGTTTTGTGATAGCATTCTAAATGAGGATGAACAATTAAAGAAAAGAAAACTAAGTTTAATATTTCAAAATGAGTGACCCATCTGTACGTAGACTGGGCATCCCATATAACCTGGCTGAGCCAATATAAAACAATTAGCCAAATTACTTTTCAATACATTATTGATTACTATTTTTGAGGTACTTTTAGGTTGGCAGTAAACACAAGTCAGAGGTAAATGGTGTACTTTTACTCCACTACATGTATTTAATACCTTCAGTTACTTGACAGATCTGGATGAATGATGTGAAATATAATCAAGTGTTAAATCAGACTTTAGTTCCACCTGGAGTAAATCCACAAGCTACCCTGCAGTATACAAAGTCATTCAAACTAGCTGTACCTTTACCAGCTTTGAGAACACTTTAAAGATCAATCATTATACAACATATCATATACAGTGGGGCAAATAAGTATTTAGTCAGCCACCAATTGTGAAAGTTCTCCCACTTAAAAAGATGAGAGGCCTGTAATTTTCATCCTAGGTATACCTCAACTATGAGAGACAAAATGAGAAAAAACAAATCCAGAAAATCACATTGTCTGATTTTTAAAGAATTTATTTGCAAATTATGGTGGAAAATAAGTATTTGGTCAATAACAAAAGTTCATCTGAATACTTTGTTATATACCCTTTGTTGGCAATGACAGAGGTCAAATGTTTTCTGTAAGTCTTCACAAGGTTTTCACACACTGTTGCTGGTATTTTGGCCCATTCCTCCATGCAGATCTCCTCTAGAGCAGTGATGTTTTGGGGCTGTCGCTGGGCAACACGGACTTTCAACTCCCTCCAAAGATTTTCTATGGGGTTGAGATCCCAGGACCTTGAAATGCTTCTTACGAAGCCACTCCTTCGTTGCCCGGGCGGTGTGTTTGGGATCATTGTCATGCTGAAAGACCCAGCCACGTTTCATCTTCAATGCCCTTGCTGATGGAAGGAGGTTGTCACTCAAAATCTCACGATACATGGCCCCATTCATTCTTTCCTTTACACGGATCAGTCGTCCTGGTCCCTTTGCAGAAAAACAGCCCCAAAGCATGATGTTTCCACCCCCATGTTTCACAGTAGGTATGGTGTTCTTTGGATGCAACTCAGCATTCTTTCTCCTCCAAACACGTCTAGTTGAGTTTTTACCAAAAAGTTCTATTTTGGTTTCATCTGACCATATGACATTCTCCCAATCCTCTTCTGGATCATCTAAATGCTCTCGAGCAAACTTCAGACGGGCCTGGACATGTACTGGCTTAAGCAGGGGGACACGTCTGGCACTGCAGGATTTGAGTCCCTGGCGGCGTAGTGTGTTACTGATGGTAGCCTTTGTTACTTTGGTCCCAGCTCTCTGCAGGTCATTGACTAGGTCCCCCCGTCTGGTTCTGGGATTTTTGCTCACCGTTCTTGTGATCATTTTGACCCCACGGGGTGAGATCTTGCGTGGAGCCCCAGATCGAGGGAGATTATCAGTGGTCTTGTATGTCTTCCATTTTCTAATAATTGCTCCCACAGTTGATTTCTTCACACCAAGCTGCTTACCTATTGCAAATTCAGTCTTCCCAGCCTGGTGCAGGTCTACAATTTTGTTTCTGGTGTCCTTTGACAGCTCTTTGGTCTTTAGTGGAGTTTGGAGTGTGACTGTTTGAGGTTGTGGACAGGTGTCTTTTATACTGATAACGAGTTCAAACAGGTGAGTGGAGGACAGAGGAGGCTCTTAAAGAGAGGGAATGCTCATGACACGCATGTTTAAATAATTATCATCCGATAAAACAGACCAGTCTCTGCCAGTCTTTTTAAAAAAAAAATTTAATCCGATGACGTTATCAGTGATTTTAAGCTGATTAATTACCGAAATAACATCAACCCTGTGGGCGGCGCTATTTTGACGAGTCACATGACTTATTTTACCGGAAGTGACGTGAACTATGCGTTTGGTGTCGAGGACAAATTGACGGATGTGCTTTGTTCATGTTGTTTACTCTAGTTACTCTCTCAATTCTATAGAAATATGCCTCATTGTATCGCGAAACATTGCCACAATTCGGAGAGGAACAATCCACGGAATACTCGGTTCCATCTATTGCCAACGGGTAAGCGTAGGAAGTACGTTCGGAGGTAGTGGCTAGCGAAATGTGCTCGGCCCGAACCGAAAGATCCACAGGCAGCGAACATTTCAAGTTTCCGGATGACTACTCTCTGAGAGTATGATGAAACATAAAATGGGATTTATTAATCAACCATTACTTAATGGGGATGCAGTGCACTGCCAATGCCAGCCAGCGTAAGCACATTACTCAGCAGACTTTACTTATTGTTTACTACGTAAGGAAGTAGGAATTGCAGGACACAGAGCGCACGGAGCACAGAGCGGACAGCAGATAACGGAATTGCAGTTGTATTGCTTATAGATCAGAACATTTCAAAGGGGACACAGTCACATTGGATATTAACCTATGGATTAACTACATCATCGTTTTTATCGTTGTAATGCCATTGAAGATCAGACAAAGACCAAGGTAAGTCATGTTAGCCTAGTGCATGTTAATACCTAGCACCACTTGTTTTGATGTACGTTTTTGTTGATAACGTCGCGAGTTTGTATCTTTCAATGTTGAGGTGAGCACCGTTAGATTCTGTGTCTTTACGATCATAAACTATGTGTTGGATGTGCAGCTAGGATAAGTAATAACGGAGCTAGGAGTGATTTTCGGTGCAGTAATAGGTTAGCATTTTTCGCTCTGGGCTAATTCAGAGGCTCACTGTTAGCATTGTGTGGTTTTTTTGAAGAAAAAAATTAAAAAGATCAGTTAAATTAGTTTTTTTCCCGTTATATGGATATCAAATATTCATAGTTTATTAAATATTAAGGTTCCTTAGACGTTGTTTCCTGCAAATGACGCAATTTCGGTAAGAGGATAACAGAGTATGTTTATTATTTTTTTTACAGTTGTATTTGGATGGAATGAATACCTATAGTCAGGGGTGCACATAACTTTTTTGCCCTGGTTCTCAAAGGAGCACCTGGAGATGTTGCTTGGTGCTCATCCTTAAAATGAAATAAACTGTAACTTTTGAGGGGGTCTTGACTTTATTTGCCAGACACATGGCACAGAACACACATGCAGAGGTGAACACAGAACACACATGCAGAGGTGAACACAAAACAACATTAGCACGACCAGTAATCCTACAAGCTGTCATCACTACCCTCCTGACTGTTCTCCTCGCTGTCTTCCTCTCTGTCAGACATGGTAGCTGATGATGTAGGCCTACTACTTTCTCTCTGGTTGAGTCTGCGATTAGCTGCTTGCATCCACAAGTCAACAGCTGGGTTTGGGTCGAAAGTCACTGTTGTCATCTTAGACAAGTGGATGTAATCAAATAAGTATGTGAACATAACCAATAGCCTACCATAGCCAATAAGAAATGAATGTAACTTATTTTATTTATGTTGTTCATTCATATCTTATTTTACCTTAACATTTATTTATTTATGCATTTTTTTTAATCTCTCCAGTTTTAAAGGATATTTTTGGTTACTGT